GTACAGACAAGCAACACGCCATGTCCTCACACGAGTTGCACCGAGATAGAGCTGTTTCACTGTACAGTACACTGTACACTGTACAGACGAGCAGCACGCCATGTCCTCACACGAGTTGCAAAGTGCATTGATGTTGACGGTGGAATTTTCGGAAATGTATTATACTAGGTAAACTGTATCCCCGACCTAGAGGGCAGTGTACAAAGAACTACAAGACAGGATCAGTGCTTTCCTTTCCCTTAGCCGTTGGCTACTGTCAGCATCTGATGCCAGGAATGAGTAGCCCCAACCACTACTCCCATGAACACTTCCAGAAATTTATTTAAAGCAGAAGTGGAGGAGGGGCAGGAAATTTATATACAGATTTCTGTTTAAGCCACTTAAGACTAATGAGAACCAGGATAGCTCAGTCGGTATAGCGACTGGCTACGGGCTGGACGTCCAAAGAGGTCGGAGTTCGAGTCCCGGTAGGGTCAAGAATTTTCTCTTCTCCATGTCGTCCTCACGAGCTCCGGGGTCCACCCAGCCTCCTATGCATTAGGTACCGGGGCGTGATGCTGACCACTCACCTCCAACTAGTGCCGAGGTCAAGACAATGTGATACTCCTTCATGACGTAGTACTTAATTAGTTAACCACAGGGATAACTTTACCATTTTATCTTACTACTAAAGACTAATTATATTTATTGCCTTAACGATATTCTGGATAAAATATATTTATTAAAAGTAATTCGGAAAGCTTTTTATTAACATTTGGCAGATTTTTTTATTACACATATTTCGATTTTCCCCCAAATCCAGGGGGAAGGTGGGCAAATTCTAGCGTTCCCTCCCACCTCGCCGGCTCCCATGTTTATATCACTGTTCCAAACTCATATGAACGCCAGAACTGCGTACTACTGAGAGAGGTCTGTATTTAAACTCAGTTCCATATTTTTTAGAAGTGCATGGATGGAAAAGTCAGCAATGAAATGGAAAACCCCAGAGGGAGTGGCACGACACTCAGTTGTCTGCAGTGGTCACCTCCGGACAGTTCGTCTGGTCCACTCCTTCGAACTGACTTCTCTGAAGACCGTTGTTCCTCAAGACTTGGTTGACCTCAGTCCCGTACTCTTCTCCCAAGGTTTTCTGTCGGCTCAGCACCCAAGCCAGAGCTGTGAATCACAGAAAGTGAACTGCGGTAGCACAGTTGTTTGAGGCACTATGCTACAAAGCAGGAAGGTGGCAGGTTCGATTCCCAGTGAGGTCATTGGATTCTACAATTAACCTAATCTCCCACCAGCTTCTTTAGGATCTAATTAATCTCTCATCTTCTCCTAATTCTTCCCAGTGATCTTCCACCTTTAGATTTTCGTGCCAGAATTTTTTACCTATTTCTTTTCTTTCCCACACCTGCTACATGACCGGTCCAGGAGGATAATATTAAAACTTATATCAGAGAATGAGATATAACACATTGCTTTGATTAGTTCAGGATGAGGACAAACGATGGGGTTTTGTTGCCATTGTGACGAACCTTCAGGTTCAGTAGTGTCTGGACCCGATATATAGCCATGAAGTGATGTATAGGCTACTTACGCATCGGTGCGTCTCCTTCCAAGAGGGAGCCCCACAGCACGGCGTAGGCGTCGTAGTTCGTGGCCAGGACCCAGTAGCTGGAGCTCCACACAGCTGCAAATGCAAGCACACAGTGACTCCTGGCTCGTACCCGGGTGGGGGAAAGGGTCCTGGGCTCGTATCCCAGCTCGGAGACAGGCTATCACACAGGCTTTTCATAAATAAGATCTAAAATTTGTGACGAATGTATATTAGTAAGGTTAAATGTTTCTAAATATTATTAATCGCCCTGTTTTAATATAAAACACAAAGTTTCAGAGGCTGGATTCTGTCTCCGTCTCCATGTGATTTTAACAACAGTATCCGTGAAATAGTTCATGGACATAGGTACTATGCCTCAAGTCTGTGGAGTTATTTTACTGTTTGTCTTAACTCTCGCATATGGTTTATACTGTGCTTGGTTTATATACCCCATCCTTGTGTTAGTGTCCGGAAATAGAGACTAGCTGTATCGATTGGGCCCAACTCAGTAGAGTCCACCTGAAGAAGAAGACAGAATCCAGTCTCCGAAAAGTTGTATTTTTTAAATAAAAAAAGGATGATGGATAAAGTCCAGAAACTCAATAATTATATGCTTGTCGTCGTTTACCTTGTTTCCTTCAGATAAATGCTGGGTTAGTATATCGATTATGACACAATCGCTGTCTCCTTTCTAATCCTTTCAAATTCATCATTCATTCAACCATCTTACCATTCGGCGCTAGTAGCCTAGATGTTCATATCATCGTGAAATAAACCACACACGTGTCAGCAACAAGCGGTTCCAGAATACATAAATACCGTGGGGGGACGATTATTTTTATGAGAACTCAAGGACGATTTAAAGTTGAAATACTGAGAACTGCCAGATATTCTTCATCAACCAGCCGGGACAAGATGGAGAAACTGGGACTGTCCCGTCTAAACCGGGATGTATGTTCAGCCTAAGTGGTTCTCAACCGTTGTCCCGCGAGAATTGGCCAAATTCAGCGCCAAGGTTTGAAGATAATGTTGATTACATGAAATGAAATACGCGTTTGTGTGAAATATTTCAATTTGTATTTGTAACGATACTTTCTCATACTTATGTTTCACTAATACATTATGATTTTATGTACTAAATGACATTAGAACTAAGGAACTGCTTTTATTGCAGGTTCTGATTATGCATATGAGCTGCCTAAAGTTACCTCCTCACTCAGTGCATACTCACTTTCCCCACTGTACGTGATGTCGAAACGGCCAGGTTCGGGCTCTGTTGCCACTCCTTCCAGAAAATCATAGGCATGGTTGCTATGGAAACAGGCAGATTTGTAAAGTTGGATTCTGTTCAATGTGCATGTTGAATACCGTCTTCTGGGATGTGGCGCTGTGTAGATGTTGTGTGAACCGACGAGCGAAGAACCTGCTACCTGTTGGCCCATCTCCACAGACCTTTCTCCTCTCCTCTATATTGATTTCGCATGTGGCACACTCTCACTCCCTTCCTGTTCTTATATAGCTGGGTGTTTTTCGACTGGTGGCTCAGTCTGCAGCCACCTGTTCACGCTGATTTCTCGCTCGTGGATCTTTCTACCCTGAAGATGGAGACGATACGTTCCTCCTAAGGGTCGGTTCACACAACATCTACACGGTGCCACATCCCAGAAGACGGCAGACATTCTTCATAGTAACCGCCGTGGAAATCTCAACTCTTACAAAATCGATGTTGTTTAAAACAATGGGCGCATGGCAGATGAAGCATAGCGGTATAGTCGTATATAATCAAACACGGGTGGCAGAAAGGTTTTCTGAAAATAAGCCAAAAGATATATGAAACCTGAAATGATCCGGACTGAGATGCCCGGAAGATGGGCAAAATGATTTACGAGAGCTGAACATGAAGAGAAGGAGGCGGAAAGGCAAGCAGTGTTGCGACGGAGCCGATGGTTCTTGGAGGGCCGTAGAGACAAGGCGTAAGGAGAAATCGTCTTAGCCAAATTGCAGAAGACCGACTTACGGTGATATATACATTGAATCATTTCCCCTCCCCTTTTTAAGTTATTCACAGCCCTTTCCTCTCTTTCTTTGTCTAAATTCTGTTTTCCAGTTCGTGGCTTAACTGTCTTGTTCTTTGTAGGCTCTGAGGTCTCCACAGCAGTGGCCGTGGAGGGTTTTAAGGTAAAGCTATCCCTGTAACAGGCCATGGAGGCCCATAGGGCCGTGAGACGTCGAGGCTGCCACGTTTTCTCTAGACAATCGCCTCACAGATGGCGCTGAGGTTTCCAGCCTTACACGCCAGCCCACCGCCTTTTACCCCCAGGAACATTCATGATACACTTTAGGAAGATAATAGAGAGGAAGGGGAAAGGTTAAAGAGGAAACTATGAAGGAATTAGAATAAAAGAAAAAGGAAGAGGAGACGGTTAAGGAGAATAAGATAACTGAACGAGGAGAGAAGACGGAGGAGGAACAGACGGAGTAGAGGAATAAACCATAATGTGATTATGAAATATGAGAACGAGAAGCATACGTTGAACTAGAATGGGAATATAAGTTGGATGTGAAAAGGATAAAAGGAAGATTACAGCAAAGGAAAGAGTAGAAAGAAGAGGCCGGTACAGGCTTTGCACACAAGAAAAGTGAAATGTAAAGTGTTTTAATGAAGCTGTAATCGAGAGGCTTTCAGAGTGGTAGCATTTTAGAGGGAACGAACGGTGCTTACGTTCTCGCGGCACAAACCTGACGTTGTAAGCATGGCTGAGCACTTTTGTGGTTCCGTCCGGGGCGAGCGAGAAGACGTCCTGCATGCAGCTGTAGCTTTCCTCGTGGACGTTCGGCAGGCGAAGGATTTCATTCCATTCGCCCAGGTACTGCGAAAATGAGCATGGAGTTCTCAAAGATGAATGTTGTTAGGTGGGAAAATTAGGATATTACGTAACAAGTGACATCATGAAGAAAGCAGTCTTCTGGGATTTGGCACCCTGTATATGTGTTTTAACCAACGTTTCGGAGGCGATACGTTCCTCCGAAACGTCGGTTAACACCACATATACACGGTGCCAAATCCCAGAAGACTGCTTTCTTCATAGTCACCGCCGTGAAAGCCTCAAATCTTACAAAGTGACATCATGATTAACGCAGTTCATCTAATTTTGTTAGAAAAGCTATATTCGTGAGATTTAGATTGGCTGGTCATGTAGGTCGTATGTAAAGACTATACATGTGAGGATAACATTAAGAAAGGTGTTATGGAGATAAATTAATGATATCAGAGGTGGATGGAACTGGCTCAGGATTATTTAATTTGGTCAAATGTGGTTTGTGCGATTTTAATCCATGTTCTGTTACTGGTAGGAAAAAGATAAAATTGTTCCTGTGACTAATTAATTAGGCTCCAGGCCATCAAGACGTATATGGGAGTGGAGGTATAGCTCCACCATTCTTGACCTCAACACTAGATGGATGTGAGTAGTCAGATTTACCCCAAGACCGTTTTACTCACATAATTATAGCGAAATAATAATAATAATAATGAGTCCGTGGAGCACGGTTCTTCACAACCTAACAGTCGCTCAGCCGACTAAGAAATTCCCCTCCTTTTATAGAACTCCAATGTTCATTACCCTCTTTACCAAACCCCACCACTTGTCCCTGTTCGAAGTCGGATTAGTCGGGTCCACGTAAGTTCCTCGATCACGCGGTTAGGTAAGGTAAAGCTATCCCTGTAACAGGCAATGGAGGCCCGTAGGGTTGTGAGACATCGAGGTTCCCACATTTTCTACGAAATCGGCTCACAGATGGCGGTGAGGTTGTCAGCCTTACACGCCGGCCCTTTACCTCCAGGAAGATTCCTGGTACTCATTTCTGTTAGAGGCTGAGTCGACCCCAGGGCCACAGTGCGGCTGGAAGGATTAGGTCAATTGCACCTTCCTGTTTGTAGCATAGTGCCTCAACTATAGCTACGCTACCGCACCCTCCCCACCACGTTGTTAGGGCAAGAAGTAATTGAATATTTTCCCTTCTGTTTTCGTTCTTCTTTTGTTCACCTGAAGCCTGAGCTACTGAAACCTGACGGTTAGAGTTGAGTTCTGTTGCTTGCTTACAGTGTAAGTTGCTATATATCGCGATAGTGATGTGTAAAGCATGATTCCTGCTGGTAGTGATGAAGTAGGTGAATAACTGTTAGAGTAGGCAGTATTGACATTGCTGTTGCACGAAACGACAGCCAGAGCGTGCTAAATCCGGAGCAAATGAATACCATCACAGTTATTTTTGGAGATATGAAGTGTTTATGTCAGATAGAGCGAGGTCAAGACGGATAGTAGGGTTCAGTTGTAATGAAAACAGATTGTGTTGTCGTATATGTTCAGCTGGGGTACTCACGTTCAAGGTTAGGTTAGCATCAAGGGCAAATTAACATTCTTTTATTAACCTTTGAGAACAGAGAGAGAGAAAGTTCATCTTCACGCCTTGAGGATCACGACCACAGATTTTTTCAATTGAATATTTGAGGTCATATACGTTATGTAACATCCAGAATCTTGTAAATAACATAAAAATTCAATCCGTACCTCACAGGAAACACACCCCGTCTCCATAACAACGCCCAACCGGTTAATGCTGTTTAGGGAAATAATCGCTGTTTACTGTGAGAACCATACGGAACACACAGATACACTGTGTGGGCAGAATGCAGAGTTTTAGTACTACTTGAAGTCCGTACCTCACAGGGAACACACTCCGTCTCCATAACAACGCCCAACCGGTTAATGCTGTTTAGGGAAATAATCGCTGTTTACTGTGAGAACCATACGGAACACACAGATACACTGTGTGGGTAGAATGCAGAGTTTTAGTACTACTTGAAGTCCGTACCTCACAGGAAACACACTCCGTCTCTTACAGGGGGCACGCGGTAGCGGAGTTGGTTGAGGCACTGTGCTACAAACCGGAAGGTCGCGGGTTCAAGTCCGTTGAGGTCATTGGACTTTTTTTTCAGTTGACCTAATCCTTCCGGTCGCACTATGGCCCTGGGGTCGACTCAGCCTCTAACAGAAATGAGTACCAGGAATATTCTTGGGTGTAAAGGACGGCCGGCGCGTAGGGCTGACAACTTCACCGCCATCTGTGAGCCGATTGTCTAGAAAATGTGGGAACCTCAACATCTCACAACCCAATGGTCCTCCACGGCCTGTTCCAGGGATACCTTTACTTTTTTACTTTACTGGGTTCTTACAATTCGGCAATATACACACTTTGGCAACTAATGCAGCTCTAGAATAATAGAAACAAAAACAAAACAAATTCCGTGGCCTGTAATCCGCAAACGAACTGTACCGATCGAGCGACCGCCGCTTGCCGGCGAAATTAGTGCCAACTTTTGCGGATAGAGAGTGTCACGTGTTCAGCGCAACGAATTCCCACGGCCGTTAATCTCGGTTTTCTAGACCGGAGCCGCTATTTCCTTGTAATAGCTCCTCATTTGTCCTCACGAGCCTGAGTTTGATTTCCCCTTATTACCATTTCATGGTTACACACCGCCCCCCCCCCAGAGATGTGTGAGAGCCCTCACTAGGCATTATCACATTAACGGTCTTAAATTTGGAGGTCTTATCTGTTGTTAAGCACCTGGCCCTTACGGTAGGGCCTTATTCTGCCAGAAGTTATTTATCTTCTGGCGTGCATGTATACGCGCTGAAATGGCTTCACTTTTCCAGCTTTATATTATAGTTTTTTCGCCACCATGTCATTAGGTTGGGGTACATAAATACAGGTAGCTGGTCATCCATGTTGGGGGTTGGACACAAGGCTGACAGCCTTGCTCTGTAAGAAAAGTTATTGTTGTGAAACCCGAATATAATCTGATAGAATCATCTAAGGAAGGCTAAGGCTCAAAAGGGGTTGCTTTTCCAATGACGATAATGATGATGGTTCATCTTTCTGGCAGAAGTTAACAATATGAAGTTATTGTGGTGTACTTTGACTGAATATTTCGTTATGTTTAGTGACGATGTTGCGGAGCGAGTTATTCACATCTTACTCACATGTATAAACCTTGTTTTGCATCGTAATGTGTTAGGTCTTCACGGCGGTGACTATGAAGAATGCCGTCTTCTGGGATGTGGCGCCTTGTAGATCTTATTTGAAACGACGTTTCGAAGGCGCCACATCTCATAAGACGACATTCTTCTTGTTTTGCATCATTCACAAATTTCTGTACAACGGATTCCTTTTTACAAAAATTTCAAGGATGTTTATTTATTTTTCGTTTATTTGACGAGGATTTTAGTAGTTCGTATTATACAGCGGTGAACGATAGGATAATTAATAAATACGGAATCTGAAAAAAAAATGTTCCGGGAAGCGCCTCTAGCCTAATTTAACCCAAGATCCCGAAATTTGCCCTTAAAATTTCAGAGAAATCGCAAAAAGACTTAGGTCACCCGATCTGCGGACCCAGCAGTAGTTCTTCAAATTTGACAGCAAAATTCGATAAAAAAATTACTTGGAATTTTACATAAAGTGGATATTATACAGGGTGTTCCGTTTAAAATGCAACCATAACTACAACAGTATATATACACTTGCAGGTGACATGAATGTTACTGTCTTATTCTGTACTTGCTTGCTAAATGCTTCACGAAAAACAGAAAGCGATTTCGATACAAAGCAGCGTTCTGTAATGAATATAACTGGCGACAGGGGCAGCGTAGTAACCAGGTTGACGTTTACACGAACTTCAAGAAGAAAGTTGAGGGGAGGGGGGTTCCATTGCACATGATATGAGTTTCCGATTTAATTTCCGTATCATAGTGATTGATTTTTTGTGTGGTTGCGTGTTAAATGACACACCCTGTATTATGTATTGAAGAACAATGCAGTCCTTTGTCCGACAAAGAAATGACAAATTTTATCGAACTGACGTAACGTTCTGCGTACCTTTGTCATGTTGAAATCGGTCATGACCGTCCTCTGGGGATATGGCTGCAAGTTCCCTCCCCCCGCCAGAACAGCCACCGTAACCGTCCACAGAAGCACCGATGCCATCACCCAGACCATGTCGCAGTTGAGCGGTTCGAATATGAAAGCCACAGTGACCAACAGCAAGACTCCAGAGATTCCTCTGACTATGCACCCACGGTCACGTGAGTACAAAGTCACATGAATATCGTTATGGTCACTTGACGTCCTTGTTCATGTCAGTACGTGCACTGACTCCACGAGATATGTACTAAGGACAGGACAAATATCTGATCGGCCATATTTACTGTACAAATACAGTGGGTTCAATTCGTCCCTTCGTTGCTAAGCAACCAACCAACCAACCAACTAATCAAATGAAATATGTACAATTAATTAACTAAATAACAAACTTCATGGAACAGAGCCCTTCATAAGCTGATAGTCGCTCAGCTACTCAAGAAGTTCCCTCTTCTTATGGAACCCGAAAAGTTCATTACCGTGTTCACAAGAACAAACGTTAACTCCATGGAGCAGTGTCCTTCTTCAAGAGCTGGTAGTCGCTCAGCTGCTCTAGAATTTTCCCACCTTTTATGTGACAGATTAACGGCCGCGGGGATCCGTTGAGCTGATCACGCGACACCCTCTATCCGCAAACGTTGGCACTAACGTCACCGACAAGCGGCGGTTGCTCGGTCGGTATAGTTCGTTTGCTGACTACAGGCCACGGAGTTTGTTTTTTTTGTTTTTTCTGGGACAGATCATTCATTATCACGTTCACAAGAATCCGTCACTGGTCACTATCCTGAGCCAAATTACATCAGTCCAAATCGTCACATGCTGTTACTTTAAGATCCACTTTAATATTATTCTCCCATTTAGGCCTGTATATTACAAGTGATATCTGTCTTTAATGTCTTTATACCAAAATGTTGTAGCGCCTTTTTAATGTTTCCCATGCGTGCTACATTCCAATCCAATCTCGTCCTTGATTTGGCTATCATGAAGTATATGATGGAGTGAAAATTATGAGACTCCTCAAGTATTTCCTTCCGCACCCAGTTCTCAGTTACCGCCAAACGGTGCTCTTGTCTTAACATGAGACTCCAGATCTCACACCCGTATACAGAAATGGGTAAAATTACATTAAATTAGATGCCTCAGAGTGAAATTTCCAGTTCCACGAGTCAGATAAGCAACGTACTCGTACTAAACAGAGGTATTAGAATCTGCACCTCAGTATTCGGCGATTTTTACAGGTCTGCCACAAGGGAATTTTGTAAATTTCGAACCGAGATATCAACCATATGTACAGCCCTGCTATGAATCTCTATGGTAAAAATTTAAGTCCCAGTTATCAGTCAAATGGATAGCTATGCCACTGATAGTTTCCCACAATTATCTCTTCGGTATTCGGCGATTTTTACAGGTCTGCCACAAGGGAATTTTGTAAATTTCGAACCGAGATATCAACCATATGTACAGCCCTGCTATGAATCTCTATGGTAAAAATTTAAGTCCCAGTTAACAGTCAAATGGATAGCTATGCCACTGATCGGTTCCCACAATTATCTCTTNATGGACTTAAATCAGTGCAACAGGACGCTAAAATATAACATTATCTCTTCAGTATTTGACGAGTTAAGCAGACATTGCCACAGAGAACGCTAGAAATGATTTTCATAAAAATTGTTGGCAAATTGGACAGTCTTGTGACTTAAACCACAGTACTCGACAAGCTGGACAGCCCTGACATAGAGAAATATTAGTACAATTATCGTCAAGTTTATCGAAGAATTGAACAGCTATATTCCTCCAATTAACGTAATTCCATTCTTAAATTGAGAGGTTATGGGCGGCACGTGACCTCTGATGTTTCCTCTCAGAACGCAAACATCTCCAGTTACAGTATTCAGTTAATACATGAGCTTCATAGTTCTAATTTCTCTCACAAATTACATGTTCATAATATGAAGCAGTAGCACATATATATTTCCAGAAATGAACATTCTTCGTTGAATGAAGAAACAACTCAATAGATTTAAAAAGTTCAAGACATGGCAAGTCAAGCCAAGGAATTATCAAGAAATTTCGTTTACTAGAACTCACATTTGTTAATTTATTGCGAGGCCAAATTATTTCTAACTTAATTTTGATTATCCTATCATCGCAATCGTCGTTTTAAGCTGTAAATTGGCGAAGTGTTAGAATTAATGCATATCTTCGAACCTGAAGACGGAAGCGGAATGCTTCTCCGGGCTCTTGGTGGACTTCTACCGGCTTACATGGCGCTACATTCTAGAAGCTACTGGCCTTCACTGTCACCACAGTGAGTACTTCAGGTCCAAAGTAATGGGTGTCTATATACGTAGTCTATGAGAAACAGAAGAAGACGTACATCGTGTTTAATTGATTATAAAAACAAGCTCCGTGGCTTTAGTCCGCAAGCGAACTATACCAACCGAGCGACCGCCGCTTGTCGGCGAAGTTAGTGCTAACTTCAGCGGATAGAGGGTGTCGCGTGGTCAGCACAACGAATCCCCACGGCCGTTAATCTCGGTTTTCTAGACCGGAATTTAATTATTATTGCTAACTGAATAAATTACAGTATAACCATTTGAAGTGCAGTATTAACTATTTGTACAACCTGTTTTGACACTTGAAATATAATGCTTCGCCTGCAAAGTGAATTGATGTCTTTCGTTTGATTTTTAAATGTGCAGTGGTTTTCTTCCTAAACACCACCAAGTAACTGATATTTACGATGGCAGAAAAGCATGTTTTCTGTGAGTATAAATTGAATATTTGTTTATTGTGAATAAATTCGGGCATCAAATAGACGAAACTTCAGATGGCAGAAGACAGACAACAAATGTCAATTTCTCACAGCCTCCACGCGCCGTGCCGGGTAGGCAACTTCTCTGACAGATGTGTGGTGCGAGTAACGGACTTATCAGTTAGATATTGCACTGAGCAGCGAGGTGTAGTGTATAGTGTACAGTGTAATGTACGTATCAATTACGCGTGTAGTGTAATGCACGAAGCTATATGCAGAGTGTACCATCACGAATATCAACATCATATTGATACATAAGAAAACGCCATAGCTCAAGCGGTTAGTCGCTGGCTTCCCACCGCGGCAGCCCGGGTTCGATCCCCGGTCTGGTCAAGTGGGATTTGTGGTGGATAAAGTGGCGCTGGGGCAGGTTTTTTCCGAGTACTTCGGTTTCCCCTGCCAATCTTCATTCCACCAATTGCTCCATCATCATATTCACCCGGAGCAGGCTACAATAGGCCAATCAGTGGCCGCAGTGCCGAGTGGACCCAGTTGGACTCCACCCCCCACTAAGCGAATTTTACGTAAGAAAACAATATGACGCTTAAGCATAATATTTATAATTCTGACTAGTGTGAATTGATAAATTATATAATTTTATAATTCTGCTATATTACCACAAGTATCGTAAGTGGTTGAAACACTGTGTTACAAGCCGGAAGATCGCGGGTTAGATTCCCGATGAGGTCATTGCATTTTTTAATTGTCCTAATACTCCTAGCCGCACTGTGGGCCTCGGGTCGACTCAGCCTCTAACAGAAATGAGTACCAGGAATCTTCCTGGGTGGTAAAGAGCGACCGGCGCGTAAGGCTGACAACCTTACCGCCATCTGTGAGCCGATTGTCTAGATAATGTGGGACCCTCAACATCTCACAACCCTATGGGCCTTCATGGCCTGTTACAGGGATAGCTTTACTTTTACTTACTTACTTATCTGAACCTAAGGTGCCTAGTAGTGCAGAGACTATGCAAATAGCTGTCCAGTCGCTCTAGTCTTTAACTTCCACTGACTCAGCCATCTTACTTTCACTTCACTATGTTCTTAGCATTATCTTGCAACGTCTGTTTAGATGCTCAAACCATCTGAACCATGAATTCTATTGTTAATATTTAATGCCTTAGTTTTTTATTTCATGTATTTAAAGCCTATGAAAAAATTAAGCTGTCCTTCTAACATACCATGGCGGCCCATACGGTTGTGAGACGTCGAGGCTTCCACATTTTCTCTAAACAATCGGCTCACAGATGGTGGTGAGGTTGTCAGCCTTACGCGCCGGCCGCCCTTTACCCCCAGGAATATTCCTGATACTCGTTTCTGTTAGAGGCTCAGTCGAGATCAGGACTATAGTGCGACTGGAAGGATTAGTTCAACTGAAAACTCCAATGACCTCATCGGGGATCGAACCTGCGTCCTTCTTGCATGTAGCATAGGGCCTCAACCAACTACGCTACCGCGTGCTCCATTCAAACCCTGGACAGTCACGAAGAACCTGTGCAGTCGAGGCCGTCGAGGCATATGTAAACCAGACTGACGAGTATGTAAAGATAGGTTATGCGCCTTGTCTCCTATCCATTCCGCATGGCGGAGGTCGAGTACCTCTAGCAATCACGGTCCACTAGAGCGCACGCGCTTCGGTTTTGCAGTACAAATATGGCGGGCCATGCTTGTGCGCGGTGTATGTACAATGATGATCAGTGGGTGTGACTTGTTGAAATGTGGTAATACATTTCTGACATTGTTATCGATATGGCTGGAAATCAGCCACATAATGGGGAAACCCCTATAGATATTTTTCTGGAACAGTTTAAGAGAAGTACGGCGCGTGCAATGGAGGAAAGACAACAATCAAGTAGTAATGTACCCACATTAGTTAAACGAAGCCAGAGTAATATCAGTGCACTGTCTTGCGACACAGAACCAATTCTGCACCCTGGTAAATATTGACACTAATTATTCTGGTAAAATATTAGTGAATAACGCATGTTATAAACTGGCTCGCTATAGACACACTCGTCATGATATTTTCTACAAGTATGTTTTCAATTTAAAGCGATATAAAAAGAACTTCGATTTTTTCTGTTTATAAGGATGTTACAACTGCTAGAAATACACGAAATTCTGTACCGTTTATGTTCCTCAAAATAACGAGTTCCGAGGTACAAAATATTTAAGCGTGTATAAATTACATAGAAAATTTAAATATTCTCTTACTTTTATGACAGTATCACTAACGTTAAACAGAACTCTACAGGATTACTTAAAATTTTGTGTTAGAACTCAAGATCATTTTTATTTTAGGCCAAATAATTGAAATCCACGTGTGTTGCCGTTCGTTGAGTGACTTGGGCATGTTCCGTAGCGGCAATCATCGCATGCAGCAGGGTGAGAAAGTCGATAATCGCAAGTGGCCCTGGAGGGTGGATAACATTTACTGCACTCCAATTGATATGCGAATTTAAACGTTGGAATTTTGAATCCTCAGTGTGATATTTATACCAAAGGTCAAGTTAAAGTACATGATATACTGCACTGATAACCCTAAACCTATTGAAATTAGTCAGGAGAAAAAATGTTGCATTAATAAAAGGAATGACCAAAATTCGTGACTTGAATATCACACCCTCTGTCAGGAAAGTGACTGAAACGAACAGTTGTATCGATTTCCGTGTGTTCTCTTCACTTCAAGGTGTTGCATATCGAGTCTGGTTAAATAATAACCTAATAACTCAACATTTGGTTAACTAAGCTGTTGTGAATATTTTTTTTTCTTTTCACAGTACACATTAAGAATCTACCTTTGGACTCAGGCATTCAAAATATTTGCACATATATTTTTCTGTTATGTTTGTTATGAAATAGTAATTGTTCTAAAATTTATATGTATTCGATTGTTTAATAATTTCTGAGATCTAATAACTATACAATTGATTCCTTCATCAACAAGAACAAGATTCTGTTACTGCATACACGATTTTCATATATTGAATAATGAGAATTTACAAGCCGATAATACTGCGATGTCACTGTCCGTGCCATCGTTACTGCACTTCAGGTATGTTGCAAGCATTCTTTTTTCCATTTTCCTTAGGAGGTTGTTTGATGTGTCCTTTTTTTAAATTTCGCGGGCTGATCTCATGGAGTTGAGCACAGAGTATAAAGGGATTATATACTCTCCCATCGTGTGTCACATCAGTCAGCAACCACTAAAGTTGAACGAACCTATAAATGAAAAATTGAAAGCGAGTATGCGCAGTGAACACATCGCTGTAAATATATATTTGATATTTGTGTATACTGTTTTAAATCATATTAATGTGCTCGATTAATTTTAAGCGTTTTTGAAATGTTTCTCTGTGTGCCTTTATTTTCTCTCACAATAAAATGATTCAAGCAAGTACGAAATTTTGGAAGGAGTCCTGTCCGTTTTCTAAACGCCATATTGGCGTTGTAATAATGAATATATTTACACGCAATAACACTTCTTTATGAATGCAGGGATAATACGATTTACACTGAAGATAAGGAAAATTGCTTCTGAAAAGATTTAACACGTTCGAAGAGTGAAGCTATGTGGCAAACAACGGGAACAGGTAAATTGATTCACTGTCTTTGCATGGACATAGAGCCCAGTTTTGTTTGTCATGTGATCGTGTCTTGCCATTTTGAACCATTTTGCTTGCCAATAAGGTTCAGAATTGAAAAACAGTGTCATGTGCCCCAGGCATAGAATTAAATTCCATTATTTTTGAAAACAATCTTTTTACCATAGCATGATGAATAAAAATCGTATGACTGATTTAAATGATAGCACACAGCCGGAGATCTGATACTTTGGTTAAGATATCAGTAAGAGAACTATTAATTGATTATTTGTATTCACTTAATCGATTTTATTTTTACAAAATTGCAGGCTAGATTGGTATGGAGAGGGTTGATGCTGCAGAGAAGGAGGCAAGTGAGGTTCTCCATACTCTTTTGTCTGTTGAGCGTGTCAAAAAACAAGGTTGCGAATTACACCCACATCAGCAACAGGTTTGTTATGCTTCACAGTCATTAATTCAGCTGAATCCCATGTTCCACATTGATTTCACAGTGCTTCATTATTATGTTTGGCTTGTTTTGTTTAGGTTAATGTCAGATCGTATCAGCTTAGCTTGGAAACCAAAATTGGTACTTTTAACAAATTTCTGAAGGGGCCAGTAATCATGAGATGATTAATAACGAATAAGAAAGGATGCGGAAGAAAGCAGTCTTGTCTAATTTAAGGTACTACCCCAGCACTATCTGGAGGGACTAAGAAAACCCATGAAAAATGTAAGATAGATAATTTATAAGTTGAGATTTCAACCTGGTACTTGAGGCTGTGCCATAGCTCAAGTGGTTAGTTGCTGGCTTCCCACCACGGCAGCCCGGGTTCGATCCCGGGTCTGGTCGAGTTGGATTTGTGGTGGGGCAAAGTGGCGGTGGGTCAGGTTTTCTCCGAGTACTTCGGTTTCCCCTGCCAATCTTCATTCCACCAATTGCTCCACAATCACCCTCACCTATCATCTGGGGCTGGTACAATAGGCCAGAAGTGCCCACAGTACAAGGGACTTAGTCCCACCCCACTAGCAATAAAAAAACCTGATACTTCCTGAATACAAAACAGCAGTGCTTACAGCTTTACCATGACATTTTTAAAATTTACAGGATTTAACCCTTCAGAACCCTAAAACTGTTTTAAATATTTGTCACAAATAGTCCTTTGTACAGTTATGTCATAGGTGTTTTTCTTCTGTGCAGGTAGTCGTCATAGCTTCTAAGGATCCTGTTGGTCCCACACAAACTGGTAACTGCTCAGCTGCTCATCGGCAGATACAAGATGCTACTGGAGTGGTGCAGTGGCACACGCCTGTCACAACTGTCCAACAAACATTATTCACAGACTTGCATGAGGTGACTCCTCAGTTCACAACACTCACCAGAGAACAAGTCATATGGCAAGGACAGGCTATCGAGCTGGAACATCAACATTTAGCAGCACAGCAGCCAATCAGTACTGTTACACAGACCAGTGATGGTCCACTAACAGAATACACCGTTTCAGTGCAGCCACCTCCACCGCCACCACCACAACAGCCACCATCGCCACAACCACCACCTCAACTGCCACAGCAAGAAGCAGCTGCATTGTCAGATCCAAAGAGGAAAGCCGCAAAAACTAAAAAAAAAGGTGAAAAGAAGACAGAGAATCCAAAGAAGAAAAGTAAAGTGGTAGCGTCAGTAGACGTGGAGGCTGCACCCACACATTTGGAGGAAAATGCTCAAGAAGTGCGAGAAAGGTTTGAGAAAGGTTGTGACTGCCAGGAACAGAACTGCTTCAAGGGCCTGAGTCCTGAATTTGTGTACAGGCACCGACTGAACATTGCTGAACTGACTAAGGCAGAACACGACATGTACCTCATGGGCGTTACAATGGCAGTACTCACAAATCCAGAGGAAACGGTAAGGCATAAAGAAAGGCGTAGACTCAGGGCTCAGTATGTATTCCAAGGACGAAGGGTATGTTTGGATGCATTCCTATACCTTGAGAACTGTACTCATTATCAGTTGAAAAGAATTCGGAAACATGTCATGACACACGGAGTCGCCCCTCGTATCCATGGGAATCATGGGAAAAGGCCTCACAACACATTCTCACTGGATATCTATCGTCACGCTACTTCATTTCTACGTCATTTTATTCAGCGCAACAGTCCCGGATCCAATTCACATCAGAATACATCAGTTCAGCATGCAAATGCTAGCAGCACAAAATGCAAATCTAAATCAACCATTAAAACACCTCCTCTCTATCTTCCTGCAGAGATTACAAAGAAGACAATTCACAATGCATACCGGGAATACTGTGAACATTTTGAACCATCTATTAAAATTATGGGATATTCATCATTCAGACATTTCATGAAAGAACAGTTCCCACACGTCAAATTTTGTAAAATAGAAAGTGGAGGCAGTAAACCAGCATTGAACACAGGCACTCAACCACAGCAACAGACTCAAGGAGGAAGTACTGGCAACCATACTTCCATCGAAGTTGAGATAGTCACTCAACAAGGAACAAAACTTCAGAGTGACGATACAGTTAATGTTATTGAAGATACGGCTATACCGCATCAAGATCCACAATCTGCCACTATCATAACAGCAAGTGGTGAGGTACAGCAGGTTACTGCAATACCGGTCGTTGTAGAACAAGAAACAAGTGGATTGTCCCATCAGCAGCAGACGGCATTCATTGTTGCACCTATGTCAGAGATAATTCAGACACCAAGTAGTGTCGGCACAATTTCCGACAGCACGTACACATCTTACCAGTTGAGTGCAGCAGCACCTGGGAGTTATGCCACTCATCAGCAGCTAGCTCAAGCAGGTGTTGTAACGGTTGCCTCAGTACCAAACACCTCTACAAATGCGTATGGGTTCACAGCGTTATAGAAAAACATGTGGTCCAGAATCAATTTTAATACACAACTAGAAAAATCAATTAATGGTTCTCTCTTTGATCAGGCGTGTAAAGTTTTGCAGTTTTTCCCATGACCGTACTCTAGCCATTGCATTGTTTCCATACAATTTCATTCAGTAACAAGAAAAGTATCTTTCTGTAACCTGCCATTAATTATAAACACATACTTAAAAGCAGTAAATGTTCTATTTAGTACCAGGCCTAAAGTGGAAGTCTGTATTCAGAGTGTGGCCAGACTCTAACCTTAATTTTCTTTCTCTGTGGGTTATTTAACAATTCTTTCGGTATCAAGATTACATACAGCATCCGATGGTGGGACGAGAGATGAATGGTGAATTAGAAAGGATTTGGAAGGAAGCATTTGTGGCCCAGTCAAGGTACTTTTCTGGAATTTGCATGGAGGGACCAAGGAAAACCACAGAAGACCTCAGTCAGGATGGTTGACGTCCCAGCTGAGGTTTGAATGAGGACCTCCAGAATCTGGATCATTACCTGTATAAACCGTCCAGGGTGGTGAAATTATAATTAGTGGCCAGTAGCAGTTCATCTGCTAAATCTCACGATATCAGTATTTGTGCAAACTAAATGTTAGGTCTGCATTCCACTGCCATGTTGATTCATTATTCTCGATAATCTTATCCTTTTACACTGTATAATCTGAGTAACTGAAAATATTGTTAAATGAACAAAGAGTAGCCAGTTTTACAAGACAGCGTGTTTTGATTTTTGTTGATGCAGCAGAAGCAGATTTTTTTTTTTTTTTGTTGAATCTAGAAAACATTTTCAAATTTAAGTTTTATGTTATAATGTGATAAATGTTTGAATAAATACGACTTAAATTTTAGCTTGGATTCAGATTTTGTTTGAATGCACTGGCCTAACACACATTTAGAAAGAAATATCCATTTACGGGCTATTACTGGCAACATCACCATCCTTACAAAGTTAAGGTTGCCATTTCTGTTTGTCACACTGGACCTTAATGTAGTTACATTTCTTACCCAAAATGTTAGTAAAAGAAATTCATGCTCTTAAATTCTGGTTTAATAAAGCGAATTCTTTTTATCATTGTCCTGTACAGGTTTTGAGGTTCTCACAGCAGTGGTTACAAAGAGTTCTATCTTCTCGGTTGTGACACCATGTAGGCCGCTGAAACTCAATCGACATTTTGGAGGAAAATGTCGCCTCCATCTTCATGGTCAGAGAATAAGCCAGGCTAGAAATCAGCGTGAAGCCGGTTGACTGTGCTTGCTACCTACTTCACACTGGTTTCTTGTTTGGTACATTTTTTACCCTGAAGATGGATGCAAAATGTTTCCTTTCAGTGGACTACATGGCGTTATATCGCAGAAGGCAGTTCATCAAGTTGCAATAACTTCTGACACAATCAGCAAATATGATCAAAAATAAACTGTTAAAATTATTAGTTTCTTTGTGTGTGTTATCTGAGTGATATGAAGTGTATCTTGCTATAAATAGCTACCAGTGTTCATGGGAAAGCATACAAGATAAAATGTGCTTAGGAATGGAGAAAAGATTGTTTTAAAAAATGTGTTTGGGTAAAGCACAGCTCTGCATTATGGAAAGGATGTTGTTTTGAAAAATGTCTCCATAAAATTCTGTAATGCAAAACCAATTTTTCCATGTTATAATGTGATAATTTGAATTTTTTTTTTAGTCAACAGTTGTAATGTCAACACACTTCATCAAGTTTTTAATCAAATCCTTGCTCTTTTACGTGCACTACTTGAACATGATACCTTTATTCTAGATATCTCAAATAAGGGTAATACTGTATACAATCTGAAATCTAGCAACCACACTGGTAGCCATCCTCCTATGTGACTGATGCATGCACACAGGATAGCTTGTGGCCAATTACATATGTGATCTGAATTTCATAACATATGATAATAACTTAAGAAGTTAATTCTGGCTGTATTTTTGCCATATATTCAATTATATTGTCATGTTTTATAATTCCCATAAGGGTGAAATTCTGTAAGATAAATATCTGTACTATTGGGGTGCAATATCTGTTTAAAATTTTAAATTTCTTTGGGGGGGGGGGAATTGCAAAATGCTGAATCTACAGCCTTTTCGATAACTTTTGTTTGCATAGAAAGAACAGATATCTGCAATAAATTAAGTGATGTGTTTACATTTCTTGATATAAAAGCAAGCGCCTTGCTTCTTAGTCCTACCCCACTAGCATTAAAAAAATTAAAAAACTCGACGGTAACAGTATTATTCAGAAAGTGCAACACAAGGTCTGGTGTACCACTCACAGTATTGAAACACATGGCCAGTACTGAGGTGCCTCCATTATGCCACAGTACATTACCATGTTATTGCCATAAGAGTAGTAATCTTTTCTTGAAGTCTGACCATACCATAGTACAGAATTGATACTACAAGTCTGGGCTACTATTTGAACATTTACAGCCCTTTCTGTTTACCGACAAGAAGTAGGTTACATATTTCTGAGGAACCTTTTCTTATGTAATATAACAGGACACTGTACATAGCAGATTGTATTTAAGTGATTAAGGATGTCTGTGAAGGTGTGTGTATTATATGTATGTATGTAACAATAAAGTATGTAATTGAACATCCTAAGAAGCTTTGATATATTTATTTACCAGGTAACCTCACAAATTTACACTTACAGGGACTAAAATTTAACAAAGGGTGACTTATTTTAAGAGATCTTAAAATCCATCTACCTTGTATATGCCAAGTCTACTTTTAGTGAGGTAACTTCAAGTGCGTTTTGGAAGTGACTTCACTATCCTGGTTTTGCCTGGTGGAACTGAGGAAACAAAATAATTGCGGTCAGAGTAACCAGTCTCTGGGCCAAGATATGCAAGACCATTCAGGAGTGCTGCCCACTCACCACAACATTATGTCCAGTTGGTTTTGAATATCATAAATTCTTAAATGCTGAAGGATATATTCTGTACAAGATAGCTGGATTTTATGTCATGGCTCAGTTGCAATAGCAATGGGGTGGACATCCGGCATTCAATTCCTGGCAGGGACACGATGTTTCTCTTTACAGCATCCAGACTGCCTCTGGGATCTACCCACCCTCTTATCCAATGGTTACCGGAGGTAAAGCAGTTGGGGTGTCAAACTAATCACCCACCTCCACACAATGCCAAGGCCAAGCACAGTGGAGCTACATCTCCCACACAATGCCAAGGTCAAGCACAGTGGAGCTATACCTCCAGTCCCCTATATGTTTACATCAAGTGATGCTTAATTTATTATTCACAGGGACAACTTTACCCTATGCTCTGACTGCTGGTAACTCTTGTGATATGCTCATTTACCACATCAAAAACATAATGCAAATAACAGTTAATCATATTTCTCAGAAGAGGGAGGTTAAAGGGGAAATTACACTGGTTAAGATAAAACAGTCAGGACTGATCCATTTTTTTTATGTATGTTTCAAGTTCTATTCTTCAAGCAGTACAGTTACCCTTCTTACAAGTAGTGTCTGCAGTTTGGATCATCAGTGAGCACAAATATCCAAACGTGAAAAAGTTTAATGAATTCAGGTTCATCAGTTAAAATAGGAAACCCATTGGAAATATAATTTGTATCCATCGCGCAGATGGCTTTTAAAATCCGTAAAATAGACTAGGTTAGATTTCGGGCACGTCGTATAAAACTGAAAATTTACGAAGTTGACCAGCTGACTCCCATTAAGAGTGGGATATGGAAACCATACGGTCACTTTTAATTAATTTACATATAAAATCACAGCCTGCCTAAATATTTATATACCAATTATATATGACAATTTCTATTTTCGTTTACACCTTCTAAACGGTCCCGACCTCACCAAGCTATCCATCCGGATAAGCGGACATTATCTATTATCTACGGCTGTTTTGCTTTGCACAGGTGTTATGCGTCATGTGACAGTCGAAAAAGCAGGTTGACGTGGAATGGGTACCGTGTTACGTCAAAACTGCGTTTAAAGTTAGGAATTTGAGAACATATAGAGTTCATTTAATTTCGTATTGTATTTAGTGACTTTGGAAAATGTAAGTAGTCTACAATTGCAGACGGTGTTCACAAATCAGTATGCTCATCAGTAGCAACAGGAGAGGTTAGTTCTGTGCTTAATACAAAGGAAACGTATGGTTTAAGAAGCGCGATTTGATGATTTGGAATAAAATGGGAAGGCATACTGTTTCCAGCGATATCTTCGGTTTTTCCACCATCTCCAAATAGATTCTGGAAGTGTAGCTTTAAATGGGCTGTGGCTTATTCCAGTCCAACCCAATCATTCATCATGTTCTTCCCATCTCATTCTACACTTTATAACCTCTGAAATTGCAACAGTTGTCATGATCCATTATGAAATTAGGATATTGGAAGGTCAGTGGAATGAAAATTCACAGGGGAAATGAACATACCCGGAGAAAGCCTCCGCTACTGTAATTTTGTTCACCATAAATACTACACGAGATTGGATCGAACCCAGGCTACTGTGGTGGAAAACCAGCAGCTGTATGAGCTGTAGCAGATTTCTTTTGTGATGAACAAGAATTTACTATGATAATCACTGTGAAAATTTTACCTCTATGACATGTATAATCTACTTGAATTAAAATGGTGTCTTTAAACGAGTTTAAATTGTTTAACCTTCCAGATCATTACCAAATCACTGTTAATCTCATCTTAGTAGATGCAATGAACAGTTGCAGTTGAAGTATTATCACAAAACAACCCAACAATTAATTGATAAGCTAATCAATCTAGCAATTAGCCCATCATTAAAGACTTTAGTCTTTGACATGTCACTTTCATGTGTGTGGTAGATAAATTTATTGAATATTATTGCTACATGTTGCAGATGACCTGATGGAGGTTACAGATCTGGCAGTGAGGGATGTTGCTGATCTATTGCACCCTCAGTATGCCATAGTGACAGGTAAACAGCAATCCAAAGGCTAGGTTATAATCATGTTTTATGAGCAGTCTCTTGACTGCATGTGCATAGCTACTCAAGTGTCATCCAAAGGTTTGTTACACCCATACTTCTATGTAGATGTCCAAAACAGCAGGGAATAATGGACGGACTTTCTGTTTCTTCATGTAATTCTTTACTCACCCCTTGGCCACATGGTCTGCTGATCTCGGCCACCTTTACAGCAGATGCCCATTCATGTGAGATTTCACATTCTCATGTCAGTGACTGTGAATAGTACTATCTTCTGGGATGTGGTGCTGTGTAGTCTGGCAGAAATATATTGATGTTCTGGGAGGGACGTGCTGACTACATCTTCAGGGTTGAATAGAAGCGAAGCAAACTCTGATGATGGAAATGGAAGTCTCTGAAATATCCATCTTTAGCTTATCTTTGACATGGCTGAGGATCTAAGAAGGTCTTAAGTTTTTCTTCAGTTATCTATGGATGTGAAAATTCTTAGCTTCAGGTTCACACATGAATGGTGGATATTTCTGGCAGTCTATGGGGGAACATGTTGATAGGAATTGCGACACAGGGCATTCTTCTTCAGTTCTTGGGATATTTCCAGCAGTCTATGGGGGAACTTGCTGATAGCATTTTGGGACACAGGGCATTCTTCGGAGCAATGCAGTGGAACCTGAAGAAAGTAAATGCCACTTGTAATTTGGTTCTCTACTGGAATGAAACAGGCTGTTCTATTACTTGGACAATTTATTCAGCCACTCGAGCTGTCATATGGAGAAATAGAGGAATTGTCTGTTACTCTCTGAACTCTTGGACACCCTCATATATTACTTAATGAACACCCTCATATATTACTTAATGATCACCTCTCATATACACATGAGGTTGCCAGTATAGTCCAGTTTGTATAGTGAGAGTCTAAGGGCTGGGTGTCTGATGTTTGATTCCTGGCAGGTCCAAGGGATCATTTCTCTACTTCATAGCATCTAAGCCATCTCTGGGGCATACCTAGCCTCCTATCCAATGGATACTTGGAACTTTCACCTGGGGGGTAAAATAGCTGAGGCATAAAGCTAGCCACTCACCTCCCTATAGTGCCGAGGTTAGAAAGGGTGGAGCAGTACCTCCACTCCTTTGTCTGTCTTTATGGTGTGCATTAAGCACAGAGGCAGCTTTACCTAATTTTACATATATACACAGTGCTTGAGGTGGAATGAAAATAGAACCGGGATGCCATCCCACCCCACCTCAAGCCCTGGGTATTGTACATTGCATTTACTGCCAAAGAAGTAACGGGATGCTTTTAAGCCATTTAGAAAAGAACCAGGATGCCATCCCGCCGCATCCCACCCCACCTCAAGCCCTGGGTATTGTACATTGCATTTACTGCCAAAGAAGTAACGGGATGCTTTTAAGCCATTTAGAAAAGAACCAGGATGCCATCCCGCCGCATCCCACCCCACCTCAAGCCCTGGGTATTGTACATTGCATTTACTGCCAAAGAAGTAACGGGATGCTTTTAAGCCGTTTAGAAAAGAACCAGGATGCCATCCCGCCCCACCTCAAGCCCTGTGTATACATGAATATTCACCTTTGTGTGTCATCATGATAGATGCTGTATAATGAGACATAAGAATGCAGTGATGATCTGTACTTGGTAATACTTCATGAAGATTCTTGAGGGGTAAAGGGCGACTGACACACATGGCTGGCAGCATGACAGCCATCCGTGAGTTGACTGTCTAGAAAACGTGGGAGCCTTGACCTCTCATACGCATATGGGCCTTCACGCCCTGTTACAGGGACAGCTTTACTACCCTTTTATCCCATCTGCATTAGCCGGGATAGCTGGGTATGCACGTGTTAGCGATTGTACATGTAAATTGATTCTTGTGTGTTCTAGGTGGAAAATCTCGTGACGGGTGCCCCATCATCACATTCCCAGACCTGGGAAACTTCTGCAGCCTTGGAGACGCAGAGTACCAGCGCCTTGTACAGTACCTGACATCAGTGCCCTCGTAAGTGAAGTGAACTGTGGGATTAAAGTAAAAAGTAAAGCTATCCCTGTACCAGGCCGTGAAGGCCCATGGGGTTGTGAGACCTTGAGGCTCCCACATTATCTAGACAATCGGCTCAAAGATGGCGGTAAGGTTGTCAGCCTTACGCGCCGGCCGCGCTTTACTCCCCAGGAAAATTATTTAATGAATTCCTGGTACTCATTTCTGTTAGAGACTGAGTAAACCCCAGGGCCTAGTGCGGCTGGAAGGATTGAAATATTTTTCAAAATATGTAAAGTGGTAAATTGTTTGCAGTTACTGAAGCAAAACAACTGTAAGGCCTCAGTCATTTTCAGGACAAAGTGGAGATAAATATTAGACCAATATTAGACCAAGTTGGCACGTAATGGGTATTACAAAATAAAATCTTGTAATTTGTTTTTACAGCTTTTTTTAAGCATGTTGTGCCTGAAGATTGATATTTTATAATTGCTGATCAGAATATATGCAGGCTAATCCTTTCAGTTTGTTTTGTGTATATGAGAGGTTTCACTGTGATTAAGATTCATATGCGTCTGTACTGTAGTAGACAAATACTTTTAGAGAAATTTACTCTTTCCATCTGCAGGAAGCTTTTATCCTGAAGATTGAGGCATCATGCTCTCCTGAAACATTACACCTACAAGACTACACGGTGTCATAAAGCAGAATGCTACATTATGATGTTTTTTTCTTTTTTAATGTGGTATAAGTTCTTTTATTGGTGACACTTGTAATTGTCATAATTTATTTTTTAGCCAAGAAGTGCTATTCCCTCCTCTATATCAGTGTTTCTCAACTGCCAGGCTGCTGCCCGGTACTCGTCCCTGGCAACAGTTATACCGGGCCCTCGTCTTATAGAAAAATGAATTTACTGGGCCACTGTCTGACAGAGGTTGAGAACCACTGCTCTGTCTCATGTAGCACATTTCTAACTGATTCCATGCTACAGGGATCTTTAATGAGAAATTAATAGCCTTTTAGCTAGTGATGAAAACTTTCCCCTTTTTGTGTAACCTGAAAGTTCATAACTGATTGATTGATTGATTGATTGATTTCGTCACTGTAGATCATTGTACATGATATATGACAAGTCAAGTTAATTCTGAATATTAACAATTTGATATATAAGTAGATTAAAATTACAATAGTTACAATTTTTACTGCTGATTACAATTTAGAATTAGTTAGATATACTACTGTGTTCACAAGAGCCTACTGTTGGACTTCAGCATGAGTGAGATAAATATTCCTACTGTATTTAAGATCAGTTTTAATATTATCATTCCATCTACGTGTTCTTCTTCCGACTTATCTCTTCCTTCAAGGATTTCTGATTAAAAGTTTATGTCTGATTTGCTGATTGTAATAGTGTTCGGGAAAGAGTTCAAATAATGAAGCTTCATCCTCTTATCTCCTCCCTCTTAGATCAAAATGTTTTCTTCAGTACCCTATTTTCAGATAACCTTTTGTCTACAGTCTTCCCTTAGGGCAAGAGACCATGCTTCACACTGATATAAAGTAACACATAGCTGCCAACATACAATAATTTCTCTCATCACCTGTTCCAGTGTCCATGTTCAACTGTCATATTGCAATATTCGGTCTAGCAGATGTGGTTACATTTTTATTTTTATTCCGATGTGCCTTGAGACTGCTGATGATTTCAAAATTTGGTTTACTTTGTCTGGGATTCTGATGTAACTGGTTTCACATTCAGATTGTTTTGTGTATGGTAATACTGTTTACATCTAGATAATTGAAAGGACATGCGGTAGTGTAGTTGGTTGAGGAACTGTGCTAGAAACCAGAATGTCACCGGTTTGAGTCCCAATGAGGTGGATTTTTTCTTTCAACTGACCTAATCCTTCCAGCCACACTATGGCCCTGGGGTCAACTCAGCCTCTGACAGAAATGAGTACCAGGAATCTTCCTGGGGAGTAAGGACGGCCGGCTGACAACCTCAACACCATTTGTGAGCTGATTGTCTAGAAAATGTGGGACCCTCAACATTTTAGAACTCTGTGGGTCTCCATGGCATGTTACAGGGATACCTTTACCTTTTTTTATCTAGATAATTCAAAGTTTAAATGTCTTGCAGAAAAAATGTATTAACAGTAGATATACATTACATAAACTTGCATTTATATTAAAGATCTTTGCAGTTATGCGCTTTGTTCTTTGGACTTTAAAGGATTCTGATGATGGTGTATGCTGTACAGAACTATAAGGTTTATTTTGGACTCTGTCCATCGTCTGGTATATATAAGAAAAAACCACAACTTTTCAGAGACTGGATCTGTCTCCGTCCTCAGGTGGATGGGGCAAGGTAGAACTGCTCAGTTGGGCCCGTTAGAAAGAGCTAGTGATCAAAATCCAGTGATTGAGACTAACTCTTTCTAACAGGCCCAACTGAGTAGGTCTATCTTGCCCCATCCACCTGAGGACGGAGACAGATGCATGCAATCTCCGAAATGCTGTGGTTTTTGTCTCATATATACCAGACGATGGATAGAGTCCATAATAAACCTTATAGTTCTGTATTTTGTCCTCTGTTGAAACCATTTTAAAACTTCAAAACTCTTATGTCTTAGATCGTGTTCAATTTGGTTGTCTAATTTCAATGAACGTCAAGAATTTTTTTCTTGTAATATTGATCATTCTTTTTCAGGATGCAGGAGGCAGACTCAGGTTTTGTGTTGGTGATAGATCGTCGAAATGACAAGTGGAATTCGGTGAAGACCGTCCTGCTCAAAGTCTCAGTAAGTATTTAAGCACATAACTTTTAATGTTCACTGTTATGTACCGTAGCAGTGTGGCAGTGACGGCCATAGATTTATATTTGGACAGTGTGTGGTTTGGATCTTGATCATGTTGTTGGTTATCTTAACTGAATGAGATTTGATATATTCGCTGCAGTCCGTATGATGAGTGTAGTCTTCTTTGTTGGACTGCCCTGAATCCAGTGTAGCCTGGTGTTAGTTCATTGATGTTTCAGAGGAAACGTCTGCCTCCGTTTCAAGGGTCAAAATGTAAATTGGGCAAGCAGCTAACCAACAAGCAGAAAGCAGGAAGTGGAGCTTCTTGATGGTTGCTTGCTTCGCTTATTCTTCAGTCATGAAGATGGAAGTAGTACATTCCTCCAAAATATCAGTGAACTTTTACTGAAGTACACAACCCTACGTCACAGACCATGGTACCCTTCATCTGGATTGATGTCTTTGGTGGTTTTGTCTTCAGCGGAATACTGCCATACCACTTAACTGTTCAATGCTGTATATTCTGAATTAATGGGATTGTTAGTAGATAAATCACAAATAAATAAATAAAAAATAAATAGCTGTACTGTTACAAAATTTGGCATACATGGCGATGGTCCTCTGTTGACTTTCTTTAAATGGTCTTTTAAGAAAAACAACGTTTACGAGTAAATGCTTATAAAAAACAATGGTTGGTACAGTAAACCCTTATATATATATATATATATGCCATATAATAACTGTAGAGCTTATGGTTATGTATAAAAAGATGAATCTGAATTTGATGAAAGTAACATGGCAAATATAGGTCTTGCAATTTCCCCTTAAATATTGCAAGGACCATTGAATCTACTTTAGTACAGACAGTGACAGAGCAAATTGCAATACATTGTCAATATCCATTTGCTATGATAGAAATTGTTGTTCCTTTCATGGCCTCTGTTGTACTCAGTCTAACATTTTGGGTTTGACTTTTCAGTTAAATGTGAAACTGAGGCACAGTTTTAAAATTCCAAAAAAAAAAAAAAGAACTAAAATTCTGTCTGATAAATTGAAGTATATAACTAACTAAACTAACCTAATCTTGGAGCTGAGTTCTTCTCGAGTTCATATGATGTACGTTTTGTTTTATTAGGGCTTCTTCCCTGGCCTTATTCATGTAGTTTATGTCTTACGGCCAGCAGGGTTTATACAGAAAGCCATCTCCGAAGTCAGCAACAAGTTGTTCAAAGAAGAGTTCAAATTCAGGGTGAGTTCTGCATTCATTCTAGCTTGAGTTGACTGCTGAAGTGTCATCTGTGATTTAGTGTAATTATTGCTTCCCTCCAACGCTTTTAGTTGTGTAATCATTCTGTCATCTCAGTCAGTAACCTATTCTGTAAGTAGCATGTGCAGTCATGCCATAGCTCAAGCGGTTAGTTGCTGGCTTCACCGCGGTGGCCTGGGTTCAATCCCGGGTCTGGTCAAGTGGGATTTGTGGTGGACACAATGGCACTGTGGCAGGTTTTCTCCGAGTACTTATGTTTCCCCTGCCAATCTTCATTACACCAGTTGCTCCACAATCACCCTCACCTATTATCTGGGGCTGGTACAATAGACGAGAAGTGGCCGCAGTACAAGGGACTTAGTCCCACCCCACTAGCAATAAAAAAAAACCAGGCAATGTTGTATTTTCATTTCACAGATACAAGAAGTTCTATGAAATGTAACTTATATATACTTGCATTAATTGTATGTGACTTTGTTGAATTGATGGTTTTCACATCTGTGGCTATGAAGAGTTTCATCATCTGGGCTGTAATACTGTGTAGCATGGTGAACATTGACTGATATTTCACAGGAACATCTTTCTATCATCTTCAGCAAGCTATGCATGCCACCTGCTTCATACTGGTGTCTTGCTTGGCTTACTGTTTCACCCTGAAGATGGAGGCAATATGTTCCTCCAAAATACCAGATGACTTTCACTGGACTATGTGGCTTCTGCTTACTGTAGAAGCCTGGGAACACTGCTCCAACTTGTCAAGGGATTGTTATTGTTACCAACAGACGACAGAGTTATAAGGATATGCCATTTTGGGTCAAGCAGGAAGTAACTTGTGTCTCCTTTGCTTTATTTAGTTTCTTTTGTGCAGGTGGTTGTGTGTAATTGTGTGGAGGAGTTGCATGATAATGTGGAGAAAAGTCAGCTGACAGCTGACCTCGGTGGTGAGATCCCTTACTGCCATCAGGAGTGGATCCAACAGCGAGTGGTGAGTAAGGTCAAATATGAAGCACAATAGACCACTGTAGGTCGCGGTGCAAGGGCCGAGAAGGCCTACCCCTCATACATTCAAGGTCAAAGACGTGCTTTAGGAGCTTTCTGCTCTTTTGTAACAACTGGACATTCCTCTGGACATAGCCCTTAAAAATGGCCTTTTTTTTTAAATTACCCTTTGTGAGACCTTCACATTTGTAGTTATCCCTTCAAGGCTCCTGTCCTGCAGTTAACACTGGCTCACATGGGGGCCTTATCTCTTCTTTACAGTCCCTGGGTCCTTTGTGACCAGTTCCCCCTCACCATCTTTCATATATAACTTCTCACTTCCCAACTTAACTCAGTTTTACCTTGAAGGTGGAGGCAGTTTGTTCCCTGAAACGTTAGTAACCGCTGACCAGACTACACAGTTTCATAACCCTGAAAGTGATAATATGGAAGTGTAAAGTATAAGGTGCACAATATAGAATTGCCGTACCTTAATCCATTGCACACCTTGAGCTAATTAAATTGGCTTGTCATACATGCATTAGAACTGCCACAAGAAAAGAGGCTGGATCAGTGTTAATCATTTACTGCAACATATCTGTCAGTACATGGCATCAAGTGTGATATACAGTGTTTCGAGGAAAGAACAGGTGTTTATATTTTCTACACCTGTTGTCATGTGAAAGTAATCTGGGAAAGTATTGTTTTTTTTTGTGTGAAATCTTATTTACCAAGCAGCCTTGGTATTTCTAACAGCTGGTTCTGTGGCTGGGCCTAGTAATGAAAAGGTTAATTAATACCAGTCCCTCATTCACTTGATGGGAACTTTTATAGTTTATGTCTGACTTGTTCAGTGAGTTGACAGTTGTAATAGCCACTGAATGGAGAAGTAGCCGCTTTGGTCCAGAAAACTGAGATTAACGGCCGTAAGGATCTGTTGTGCTGACCACGCAACACCCTCTATCTGCTAAAGTTGGCATTAACTTCACCTACAAGCAGCGGTCGCTCAGTCGGTATAGTTCGCTGGTGGACTAAAGGCCACGGAATTTGTAATAACCATTGCAGATGAAGTGACTTCAAGCCCAATAAGTTTTGGATGTGATTCTTTAGTGTACTGAATCATTTGAAGGTACAATATTTAGTTCTGTGTATATAATATTGTAGGCTTTGGAAAAATTTTCGTGCAACATGCAGGAAGTGTCTGCCGCTCTGGATAGCTTCACTCAGAGCCTACAGGACGCAGAGTTCCCAAACGATGTGGACGCCACACAACAACTTCTCAATTCACAGGTAATGTTTAAACAGTGTAATTTTCAGCACTCTTAGAAAGTAAGATGAGCTTTTTCTCCACTTCTGTATTATTACTCCATAGTAAAAAAGAAAAAAGTAAAAGTATTCCTGTAACAGGCCGTGAAGGCCCATAAGATTGTGAAATGTTGAGTTTCCCACATTTTCTAGACAGTCGGCTCATAGATGGCGGTAAGGTTGTCAGCCCTACACACCAGCCGCCCTTTACATCCCCAGGAATATTGCAGGTACTCATTTTTGTTAGAGGCTCAGTTGACCCCAGGGTCATAGTGCAGCTGGAAGGATTAGGTCAATTGAAAAAATCCAGTGACCTCATCGGGACTTGAAGCCATGATCTTCCAGCTTGTAGCATAGTGCCTCAACCAACTATGTTACCACATGCCCCATTACTCCGTAGTACCAGCTGAAGCAGCCTCTGTTAATGTTTCATCCCAGTCACACCATCCATGAAGAAGGTCCTTTAATGGCCACTTTCCTTACTCTTTTTCTCCTGAATTCCCTCTTATTGCCTGCAGGTTCTTCTGCCATTACTTCTCCTTCAGGTAACAGCCCTTCTAAGAGGGAGCCCCTCTTTTCATTTGCTCAGGGCTTCAGTACTGCCCCTCTCCTTAAATCCATTCCATGTCTTTACATGCCCGAAACCCTCATTCACCGTAGATGGTGTCTTGGTTGAGATTCAAGCCAACCACGTCCGAAACAGAATTTTAACTTTCATGTCTTAATCTTTTGTTTCTAATTTTAATCTTTATATATTTAATTTTAAATTTTATATCTAAGGATTTTCAGTTTTAAAATTTTGACCATAACTTAATTCATGTATTTATGCATATCAAGACACAATAATGATCCTTAATTGAAGAATTAGATGATAATTAATTGCGATTCATCAGCTCAAACTGGAGTATTGTATGCCTGATGACGACTCTGTATAAGGGTTGAAACATGTAACGTCTGTGAAAGCATAATAAAAGCAAATGTTGATACAGTAGTGTCTTTGTTTTTTAAATACAGAATATTACCGTATTTACGCATGTATAGGCCGCGTGCGTGTATAGGCCGCAGCACAATTTTCAGACAAATTATAGAAAAAGTAATTTTCTTGGAATATTATTTCAGGAGTATTACACCCTGTATTACTAATTATGAATATAATTTTTTTTAAATGAAGTGTGATTTCGAATATTTCGAATATAAGCCGCACCCCAGTTTTCCTCTTGAATTTTTGGCAAAAAAATGTGCAGCCTATACATGCATAAATAAGGTATTTTGTCGACAGCTACCTTACATACTTTTGTATATCTTACACATCCGAAATAGTTAAAAGGTTGCCGCTGCGTCAACCTGCTTGGTTACATTCTGTAGTAAGTTTTCTGTGCTCAATATTTTATGCATTTTTTTTTACACTTGTGATCTGATTCCAGGTAATATGTTGTTCCACATATTTCAGCTCAAAATATTACAAAGTTTTAATGTCACTTTTTAGGGTATTGAATATTCAGAGCTGAAGGAGGAAATCTTGAATGCTGCCAAGCATGGTGAAGATCTCCTTAAAAGTATCAGGCAACATCCAGCTACTGGTAATACCAATGGCTCGACATGTGCCACCAGGGAGGACCAACTGGCACTATATCGTGTGTGTCCATACAGATTGGGCAATGTCACAGCTGTGGAAAGGTTAGTACTCTTGTCGTCATGCGCTTTACAACACAGTAGTTAATATAGGTACCATCTTCTTTAACACTAATAAGGTCTGCACTTTCCCACATATTGTATTTATATGTTCTACATTATTTTCAGAATAAACAGCGATTTGTTTCCCTAAACAGCATTAACCATTTGTCTATGTTTTTTTATGAAATATGACACAATTTTTATATTTTGTTTAGGTGAACTTGATACTTCAGAGTGTTAATAAATTCTGTAGTTTTGCTGGAATTTTTACTAAAATTTTAACTTTTGTGAAAACCTTAATGATTATGAGTTCTGTTCTTTGATCTTAATTGAGTTAATAATGCTTTTCATCTGTATAAGTTGTTTAATTGACTGCCATGATTATTATGAGTGAGAAATGAAGAAGTCGTTACGGCCACATTTAGATGACGTCCTTGTATATGCCCATTAGATAAGGTAAATCTATCCCTTTAACAGGCCATGAAGGCTCATGGGGTTGTGAGACGTTGAGAGTTCCACAATGTCTAGACAATTGGCTCATAGATGGTAGCAAGGTTGTCAGCCTTACGTGCCAGCCACCCTTTACCCCCAGGAAGATTTCAGTTAGAGACTGAATGAACCCCAGGACCATAGTGCTGGCGGAAGGATTAGGTAAATTGAAAAAAAAAATCCAATGTCCTCATTGGGACTCAAACCTGCGACCTTCCGGCTTGTTGCATAGTGCCTCAACCAACTACACTACAACGTGGCCCTGTATGCCTATTAGAAATGAGGAAAATAATGTAGTCCTCAGCATAGCTATCCTACAGACAAGATGTTGGCTCACTTTTCAGACACAATGCGTCACTGCAGCTTGCCTTTCTTAACCCGCCATGCATCAAACAGTACATCATATGCCCTCTCATTCGGTATAGTGACTAGAGTGTGGGCCGGACAACTGAAGAATTATGGGTTGATTCCTGGCGGAGACAAAGAGAGATTTCTCTATCTGAGACAGCTCCAAGGCCCTGACAGGAGATTTTTACTATTTTTAGAATATGATGCTTTAGATTGTTACGAATGTATCAAATTGGTTGGCATAGCAGTAATGCTCTAGATTCGCATTCAGAAATTGCTCAGTTCAAATATTGCCCAGGACACCAACTATCCAGACTTGGGGTCTTCATGGTTTTCTTTAGTCCCTCAGGCAGTTGCCAGGATATTACCTTGATTAGGCCATGACTACTTCTTCCCAAATCCTTCTCAATTGTTCGTCTGTGATCCTGCCATCTGGTGCTGTACAGTCTAGCTGCCGACATAGCATCATCACCAGAAACAGAAATGGTAACCTGGTTTGTGAGGAATATTCTGCCTGTATCTTATGAAAATTGAGGCAGCAGGTTCCACAAAAACATCTGTACCCCTCTGCTGGTCTGCTGTGTTTCGTGTGCCAGAAGGCAGTAATCTTCATAGTTGCCATCATGAGAACCTCAAACCTCACATGCATTAATCTTTGTTTAGATGTGATTGCTTGGCCCAGAGGCTGAAACTCACATTATATTTAACTATTTTGTCTATTGTACTTTTGCCACAGGTGAAACAGATTTGCAGAGAGTTGTTGCTTGTTTTCACAGGCTTCTGGTTCAACTCGAAGAGACGGAGAGAACTTTTGATGATTACTGGTTTAGTCATTCAGCACGTTTACGACAGTGCCTAGAACTGAGAAGGTTTGAGCAAGACTTCAAAGAACTCCAGGTGAGGATGTAAGGCAAAATCGTTCAGGTTACCGTCACAGTAAAGCGCTAGCATCCTATCCCTTCCCTGGATTGTAGTTATATAAGCCCCAGTCATTGTTTGTAACGCATGTGTTGATATCCAGCCACTGCTTGAAAATGTATGCATTTACATCTGCCTACTGTTTGAGTTTGGTTCCTGTTTACAATTCTTATGAAGTCTGGACATTACTTAATACTCCCGTGTCAGTACCTCGACCGCCTCTGTGGTTTAGCGGTTAGAGTTCCTGGCTACAGATACAGAGGTCTCAGGTTCGTTTCCTGGTGCTACCAGATATTCTGAGAAGTAGTGGGTCTGGAAGGGGGTCCACTCAGCCTCATAAGGATAATTGAGGAGCTATTTCAAGAAAACACCCGCTCCGGTCTAGAAAACCGAGATTAACGGCCGTGGGTAACTGTTGCGCTGACCACGTGACACCCTCTATCTGCGAAAGTTGGCTCTAACTTTGCCAACAAGCGGCGGTTGCTCACTCGGTATAGTTTGCTTGCGGACTACAGGCCATGGAGTTTGTTTGTGCCAGTACCTCACAGTTGTTTGAGGGCTTTTCTCTATGTATAATTTTCAGTTTGAATGCAAGCTGCTTATTTAGCTCCAGTATTTTACAAGATAACTTAGTACGTATTCACATTAATGAGCTCCACCATGTGAACTGACATTCTTACAGCAGTGAATATTAAGATTATAGTTTTGTGGGGTGCCATGTAGTTTGGTAGCCAGGTTTTAACATTTCAGAGGAACGTTCTGCCCTCATCTCCAGGATACAAGACTCTGCCATGAAGATGGAATCAGCAGTTTCTCCAAAACACTGATACGATGATTTCTTAGTTTATGAGGTAGATGCTTTCCTGAAAAAAAAAAAATGGGTAGATTTGGAGTGCATGAATAAGAATCTGATTTTCAGAAAGAAACACTGTCAAGGAGGGTGTGTTATATATATAAATGAAGTCAGTTGAGAGAGCTACAGAAATTTATGCATGTAAAACATTTTGTTTAATTATTTTAATTCAAGTTTTATAACTTTGTTAAACATAAGGTAGAAACTAATATAATAAAGAGAGTTTTGTACATTTATTTTAGTCAGACATTGTTCTATGCCTTGTTCAACATCGTGATCAGATGAAGATGCGGTCTGTTTCACTGTCCTAAAGAAAGCTGCTCTGCCGCCTGATACATGTCGCATGATCACACTATTATTATTATTATTATTATTATTATTATTATTAGAGGGGGAGGGTTTCCCCATGCACCACGACTAATAATCTATTGTACGTCCCCCTTTGATATTCTACCAGTCGCCATACCCTACCAGTACTGGTGCGTACTATCAGCCCCGTTCAGCCAACGAGGTCAGCCCTCAGTACCCGATACTTCCACCATCTACCAGAGGCATTGGTAACTACTTGGGTGGGAAACATTTTGCCTAATTTTGCTCAGAGGTCTCCTAGAGACATGAGGATCTTTTACGTGCCGTAAATCTACGACACGGGACCCACAGCTTAAAGTCCCTTCCGAAGGACTTGTTCCCTGAATTTTTCCACCCTTAAAAATTCCACGACCTCTGCCAGGTTTGATAATCACACTATAGTGAGAACTAACATTTCATGAATTGAGTAGTGTATGAGTCCAGTCCTTGAGAGGAACCATGTTTTGTTTCAGAGTAATTTTGATTGCCACTTGAAGAGCGTTTGTGAGATGACAGAGGTTGGTGAGACTGTCGCAAGAGTCGACACGCTCATCAAAGAAGCTACCGCCCTCCAGAAGCTGTGCATGGTGAGTTCATTTATTCTGCTGAGATTCGTAAGACATATGATCGAATATTGTTATGCTGGAATTAGAACTGCCAGTTCAGGTCTCACCCCTAAGATTGGCTGTTCTGTCTGAGGTTCATCAGTGTGTTTCTCAAACTATCAGGACATGTTGGGATAGCATGACGCCGAACTGAAGGGCTTGTGGACACACTTGTCTTGTAGGGTTGGCCAGGAGTTGTGTCAGTGTACTGTCTGAAACAAAGGCAGTAACTATTTTGTTTTCCTCATCATTGTTTTGTTAGATTGTTAAATCAATGGAATGCTTGATCTTACTTACCTCAGCACAAGTGAACCACAAGTACCGTTCTTTGTCATATCAGTTATGCCTGAAAATCAACAGTGCTCTCATTTTTGCGCATTCTTCTGAAATGAGCATTCATAATAATTATGCAGTTTTTTTGTGCAATGCCAAATATCCCATATAGCTGTCTGAGCATTATCATGTAACTGAGAAACAGGCAGTTGTAGCATATATTCCCATCAGTTTCCCTGCTGTTTTATTAAAAATCTTGTTTAGTGCAACAGGACGCTACAGTACAATATTGTAACGTGTTTTAGTTTATGAGAATATCTGGACACACTGAAAGTCAGGTTATGTTTTATGTTATTTATAGCAATAATTTTCATAAATGATATTTAAAAACTAAAATTCTACAGCCATGTTCTTTCTTGTCATCTGTTAAGAGAGAGAGAGAGAGAGAGAGAAAGAGAACCAAACGTGGAAATTGAGACCTTTTTGTTAAGTTTGTTTGTATGAATGTTGCTAGCCAATATGATTCTGATGGATTACATAATTTGCATGCTACTGCACAAAGCAGAAAAATAGTTACCTGAAATTAATTGAAGCTTGAGGCTCAAAAATCAACATGAAATTAAAATCAAGATAGTTTTTCTGGATTTGATCTGAGAAATTTGAGAGATTTGCGAATGCCTACCATCTACCTGATTTTGTCACATAGTATATAACAGATATGTGAAAGATACATGTTCTGCCTTTCCCCCCAGAATCTTTTTGCCATAACCGTAAGAATTGCTCTGCTGAGGAGCAAACATTTTCCGCAAAATGTTGGATTCTCATGACTGAGTGAGGTAGCTTTAATATCGATACTGTCTTGTAGACTGATGTTGAGAGGGCGGAGGAGCTCATCTCAGTCGGACAGCAGCTGCTCCACAGTCGGCACTACTGTGCCCTCGATTGTGTCCAACCCAAATGCTCCGAGTTGCAACGGATGTGTCAGCTGTTGCCAGAACGTCTTGAAAGCCGCCTCAGTACACTGGGCAAATGCCGGGATCTTCAGGAGCGAATTGACAAGGTATCTGAGAGTGGGAATTCATTATGGACGCTACAGAAACCTTCTCATTCTGCTTGTCGTTTGCTTCTGCAGGATTAGTTGCTTCACTGACTCTTTGGCCATGTATACAGAGTCAGTTCATTCCTCCGAAACGTCACTGAACTACCGCCAGTTTACATTCCATAAGAAAGTACTCTTCATAATCGCACCATGAGAATGTCAGATCCAACAATTTTCTCTCTTTTTATACATTCTTGATTATGTGGGCTAATAGATGGAAATGGAAGGGTGACTGACAAAAAAGATAGATATCATAAACTAATTATATTTGCCACATGTTGTGCTTATTTTACTTGTCTAAGATCTGAGATTTTCACAGATTCATGGAGTGGACTTATGGATTATGACACTTTGTAATTTGGTAGGTGGGTTTGTTTGTTTATGTGTTGTTTACTGAATATGCTTCTGGTAACTGTGACTATATTCTCACATGATTGACTGACTGTTAATGGGAGTTTTGTATTGGATATTGGATTTATTCTTCATTTTGACGCACAACTTGTAATTACACTTAATTATAGCACAATAGCTAATTTCTACACTTTGAAAATCACTAGAGCACACCCTAAGTCTTTTCCAGCTCTCAATGTCTTCACTATTAGTTGCCTGGGAACGGCTCCTAACAATGGCTGTTCCTCTGCTTCTGTGCTCAAGTCCTCTCCCTTCTAACTGACCTGAGCTCTAAACTTTGTTCCACTTATAACCTCTCAGTACAGACCAACAGAAAACATATCTCTTCCATTGTTGTGTCTGCAGGGATGTGTTTACTGCACCGTTGAATAGCAATGGCCATGGCACGGACCACAGAAAACACCGTTTCCAACAGTTCCTCAGTTGTTGTGTGTTGATTTGTTGCCATGGGAACCTGTTTGTTTTGCAGTCATTATCTAGTAATGAGTACGCGCTACAGTGATATGATGAATTGCAAAGAATGCGGAAGGAAGCAGTGGTGGTCTTAACTTGAAGTAGTATCCTGGAATTTGCCTGGAAGGACTGGGGAATACAACAAGAAATTTCATTCAGGATAATCAGTATTTCAACCTGGGTTCAAATTGCACACCTCCTGTGTACAAGTCAGAAAGTGTACTGTTTGAGCAGACTAGCTCACTAGGTGGGTACCAACATTCTGGAGGGACCTGATGTCTGAGAGACTTCAGTATTACTGACCAGATGGCATAATGCCACTTTCCAGAGGACCAGAATATGAATAATCACGTGTCACAATCTTAATTTTAGCAAATAAGAATACTGTAGTAGCAGTAGTAGCCCTTATCAGGTTGGTTTAGTCATTACCCCTTGGAATTCAGTACTTCCCCCAATAATGAGTCACAGAATGTGGACAGTGCCAGAGCACGGAGTTCTAGGAAAATGCTAGGTTTGAAGGTTATGAATTCTATCTTATTTCAGGCAAACAGATGGTGCACACGAGGTATAGATTTGTTGGCGTCGCAGCACATCGAAAAGTGTTCAACTTCTCCTGACCTCGCTGAGCAGTCGCTGCTGGAAATTCAACAGTATGTGACGAGTGCTGAGGAGTTCAAACTGAGCAGTCCCAAGGAGTTCCGGTCCCTTTTCCAAGACTCAATCACTTCAGAAACTAAAGCACTTGTAACACAGGTTAGTGAAACTTTTGGAATGTCAGGTAAAGTTGTGCCTACAGTTAAATTAAGCTTTATACTACGAAGATGTATAGGGAAGTGAAGGTTTAGCTCTACACTTCTTTAAATTTTGAGCTATATAGAAGGGAGTGGCAAGCTTCAAGCCTGGGCTACTAAAGTCAATAAATCATTGCCAGTATTTCACAGGAATGTGCTGCCTTTTTGGGGGGCAGAAGTGTGAGAGGGGGGTTGAATATCGCTCTTCTACCTTGGAGGTGGAGGCACAGTGTTCCTCTGAAACTTTGGTACTGTATGGCATCATGTCCCAGAAGATGGTAGGTACATTTTCAACCATTTCCGACTCTGAACGCAAATTATGTAAGTTATTGAAAAAAGAGAAGTAGAAGAAGGAAAAGTAATGATAATAGTATTTATAGTGGTTGTAGTGATAGTGCTATTAATATGATAATAATAGTTTTAGCAGAAAGGAGTGATATTAGAATTGATAGAATTATATTGTAGCATCCTGTTGCACTTTTCACTTAGTGTCGATTAGTTTTTTTTTTTTACTGAGATTAACAGCCAGGAGGATTCATTGCGCTGACCACCCGACACCCTGTATCCAATAAAATTGGCACTAACTTCACTGACAAGCAGCGGTCACTCAGTCAGTATAGTTCACTTGCGGACTACAGGCCACAAAGTTTGTTTTATTTTTGTTTTTTTTTTTTCAATTAGTTTTTTACGTTCTTGCCCAGCACAACACACAACAGGAGAGAATACAACCCACCAACTCAAATGCATGCGCATCGAGGGGACTTATGTATTAACTACAGAAGCAGTTTCCTCATCCAATAATTTTAACACCCGATGATGACCACATTGGGCAAGACATGTAATGATGAACTTTTAAAAGGAATACCTTTTAAATAACTTTGACAGAACATAGTGTTGCACGTGAGACTCTAAAAAACTAATAGGAACTATTAGAATTGATGTAAAAGGTATAGGAAGAAAAGAGATAGACAGAGGTGAGAAAAGAAGAGGAACATAAACTAGAAAGAGGAGAGTAAGAGAACAACGAAAAGTAGCAAGGAGAGGAGCATGTAAAGGAGGATAAGATTATGAAGTAGGAGAAAAAGAAGATGTTGACAAGAAAATAACCCAGATCTGAAAGGATTATATAAAATGATACATAACCCCATCCTTAAAATGTCCTTACCCTCCGGCACTTTCTCTTTTAGTTGCATTATCCTCATTTTGCAGGTGCTACAGAGAATAGATGATGTGTCAATGATGTGTGAGAAACGAATGACAAATCTGAAACGTCTTACTCTGAAACTTCCCCGACCAGTCCAGACTGTGACGCCTGAACCTGCTGTTCCTCTCCAGCAGCCGCCATGTTGTGCTCCGGATCACGTGCACAATCATCACAGCAAAACAAGCAACAAGGTGTTCAGGAAGGCCAACACTTTGCCAAAGGTATTTGTGTATAAGCTTGCATCATAGTACACGTTCCTTGTTGGGCAGTTCTTTGTTATTCAGGTGATCAAGAAGTGCCCACACCAAACAGGTTGGTCTGGCCACAACACTCCAGACTTGTATCTGAGAGGGGCTTGATCTGAATCTTACCCAAGACACCAGCTGTTCTTAGGTTTTTGATATTTTTCCTCAGTTTAATAGAGAAAATTCCAGGATAGTAACTTGGTTAGGTCATGACTTCTTCCTTCCGAATCTATAACATCCCGTCCATTCGTGTCTTTGTCTTTATGTACTGTTTCTCTGAGATCCATTTTTATGTTATCTAGTCACCAGTCTTATGCTTCCCAAAGGATGTAACAGTCATCTTTCTTCTTCAAGCATTAGGCAGTTTAATTTCGCCATCTTTTCCTAGCTGGCACAGTTATCATCATGTAATTTTCTCCATTCTTTACTTACTTAATTTCTCTTGGATCTTTTTTTTTTTTTATTTCATACACTGTATACAGAATGTCCAAGGAAGAAATGTCAATATTCTGTGGGGTCACAGTATCGGTCATTCTAACCAAAAATGTGTATATGTACATGTGTCCTATTCCGAACGGTTCTGAGATAGAGCTGTTTCACTGTACAGTTCCAAAACTGTTTATAGGAAAGATATTACATACTGTTTCTGATACCAGTATTTATTGTTCACGTGACAAAGTTGGTAAGTTTACCGAGTGTAAAACATTTTAGGAAATTCCACTGTAAACTTTGCAGTTCCTGTTAGAACATGACATGTTGCTCGTCTGTATATTGTACTGTTCTCAGAAACTGTTCGGAATAGGACACATGTACATATACATATTTTTTGCTTAGAATGACTGATACTATGACCTCCAAGAATATTGACCTTTCCTCATGGGGCATTCTGTATAAGAAAAGTAATTTGACACGGTGAATTTACCATCTTGATATCTTCATTTTCCCCACTACTCTGCCCTCTGAATCAGGCCCTGTCAACACTTTCCCTTTTTCCCATCCTCTCTGGTCTTGGAAAATGATATTTTAAAAGGCCAGCATTCTTTACTCCAGTCTTACTCCTGTTCTTCCCCACAAACCCTGGTCCAGTTCTCTGTTACCATTTCATTCATTCTCAACATACTTTTCTACCCTGAAGATGGTGGCAGCTGGTTCCTCTGAGACAGTGAGGATGTTCTGCCAAACTACATTTCATCATATCTCAGAAGACAGTGATCTTCATAGGCCACAACAACTTCCTTCTTTCATCCCTGTCATTCATCATTTATTTCCCAATCGGTAAAGCGCCATAAAATAAACACTACTTTGTTTTCTCTTGTAGATTGAAGTCCCGTCAGATATGTGGAATGCTCAAGCTATCAAGACAGATACATGTGATACAGCAGCATCATCTCCAGACAGTGAGACATCTACCCAGGACCTGGAGGTGTTAAAAACTAAACGTGGCCATGTCCTGGCAGAATTACTCGAGACAGAGAGGGTCTATGTCAGTGAGTTGGGCTCTTTGATTAAGGTCAGCATAAATATTGGGAAACAGAAGTGAATAAAACACACTGTAATGATCGTTCACCTATAAAATGTAGTGAAAATTACAGAAAACGTAGGATTACAGTGGTACAATACATAAACTACATATACACTTTTAACATTTGATTTTGAGCACCTAGAAATTTAATTTAATTTATAATATTTAACTTGTAATTAAATTATAGTAAGTCAGACCACAGTGTGTGTGCCACTGGAGGGGGTAACATAGTGTAGGGAGCTGTTGGTTGGAATGATGCACAGTGCAGCCCCTGCTGCTGCTGAGAAAGCCCAGCAGGAGCCCTAAAAACAACAATTACTTATGGGCCCTGGTGATGCTGTGATAGGGCCAGCAAGTTGATGATGGACGTCAACATTGCCAGATCTGAGTTTCTAACAAGAATGACTGTGAAGAGTAGAATAATCTGGGTTGTAACACTGTGTAGTTAGGTAGATGCCCTGCTTACAAGCTGCTTCTTGCTTGAATAACTCTAAAACTCTGAAGATAGAAGCAGTATGTTTTCCTGAAACATCAGTGAACTACCAGACTACACTGCTTTACAACCCAGATGGTAGTATTGTTTTATCTCAGTAATACATTTAAAATGACACAAAGACGTTGATGCTCTAAAGTAGTGTTTCTTTGATGAACAGGGTTATAAGTGCGAACTTCAATCAAGTGAAATGCAGTCCTTGATCCCTCCGGCGCTGGTCGGCAAGGCAGATGTGCTGTTTGGAAATTTGGAAGAGATATTCAATTTCCACAGCAAAGTTTTTCTGCGGGATTTGGAAAACTGCATCTCCAACACAGAGCTGGTGGCCCTCTGCTTCACTCAAAGGGTACGGGGTTTCGGATGGCTATGAGGATAATGCTCTTGTCCTTTATTTTATCACCTTACAATATCAGCATGCCAATCTGAGACCGTGTTTTCAAATATATATATATGTGTGTCTGTATCTTATCTGTCTCATAATAATCTTCTGTTTGTCTGATCTTGTATGGAGTTTGTGGCCATTAATTCCAAGTTGCTAGTAATACAAACCTAGTGGCACTAAACATGGTCAACTCGGCATCACTCCTACTTCCTGTGTGGGAGTTAATATTTTTTTAAGTTCAGCCCAGAGACCTATTGTGAGATCTTACATGATTTTCCTGTCTATCCATACAGGTGACAGAATATACCTACCTACCTACCTACCTACCCACCCACCCACCTACCTACCCACCCACCTACCTACCTACCTACCTACCACTTGGCGCTACAGCCCTGGGTGAGCCTTGGCGTCCTCTACAACCAGTCTCCACTGTTCTCTATTCCTCATCTTCTCTATCCATCCTTTCAACTTCATCTTCTTCAGGTCATTCTCAACATCGTCTGGCCGTCTCACCCTGGGTCTTCCTTTCCTTCTTTTGGAACATAGCCTTCCTTTTAACATTCTCTTCCGTTCTTTTGACATGTCCCAACCATCTTATTCTCTGTGACTTGTTAAATCTTAACTATATCTTCTCCTCTCAGTAATGTATTTATCTCTTCATTGTATCTTATCGTCCATATATTATTTTCCATCACTGGTCCAAATATTTTGCATATTATTTTTGTCTCGAACATTCTCAGTGCATTCTTCTGTTACTGTTAAGGTCCATGTTTCTGCCCCATATGTAGCAACAGGTCTTATTAATGTTTTGTATACTTGTAGCTTAGCTGCTCTCGATAATATTTTACCTTTAAGTGTACTGAGATTTGCAAAGTAGGTCCTGTTTCCAGCTTGTATCATTTCTGTTCCAATTATTCATCATATTTTCTAAATATTTAAAATTACTCACTGGCCAGGATATAGCAGGATTTATATATCTCTTGACGTTTGAGGTATGGCCACTGATATTGTACTAACCCGTAAGAGACCTCCAGTGTTTTTCATTTCAAGTCAGCTGCCGCAAATTTCTCTTAGAAACAAATTGTGTTTAAAGGTTTAGTTCATATTTTATTAATTTATTTTTATGAAATAATTAACTTCTGTTGCTCCATAGCCAGTTCTAATGAGTTTCCTAATGCTACTGCTGCTACACATACGTGTGCGGAATGATAAATTGGCTGCACCGCAGCAGCTTGCTATTCCTTCTCACCGGGCGTCAAGAGATATGAATCCTAATGTAGTATATTAAATTATGATGGGCCCATTTGCTTTCACATCATTTTCAATTCATCACTCACCGTCATCCAGTCATTCAGTATTTTGTTGCTGAGAGCATTGCTAAATACAATAAATAAATAAATTCATGGGTTCAGTCATGTGCATATATTTGATTTGTTTTAGAGAGACGCATTCCTGCGTCTGTATAGCTATTATTGTCAGAACAGTCCCCGTTCTGAACGTCTCAGGGAAACTGTCGGAGAGAAGAATATGTTCTTCCAGGCATGCCAACTTAAGCTTGGTCATAAACTTCCACTAGCAGCTTATCTTCTGAAGCCAGTGCAGAGGCTAACGAAGTATCAACTTCTGCTCAAGGTAACGTGACTGATTAGCGCTTTTATATGATGCTTCTGCTGTCAGCCTTCATATCATGTCTACATGACTGTCATTGTGTTTTTCATTTTCTGTGATGACGATAATCACACGCAAGATTTTGACTGATTTACGTGTGTTCAGCACCCCTGAATATGAAAGGGGGTTCTTGATTGCCATCTGCCTGTATGGCTGTATGTTTCGTTGGTTCCTGTACAACATGGTGGAGTTTATTCATATTCGATATTTAAGAGTTTATACACCGTAGGTTGGTGCACAGTGAATATGAAAAATTAGCTCCAAAAATAGGGGAACTTCAGATGGACCCCAAAAATCAAAATTACGATTTTCTTGAAAGTGGTTCTAACAATCTTGATTATATTTCATTATTTTATGGAAACCATCTCTTAAAATAAGCATGTGCAGTATCTTAAGGGATAGTATAAGAGATTAACCTTGCCGCCATCTGTGAGCCGATTGGCTAGAAAATGTGGGAACCTCAACATCTCACAACCCTATGGGCCTCCGTGGCCTGTTACAGGGATACCTTTACTTTACTTTACTTAATTTATAGAATAAAAGATTATTAACACTGTACAATGTGATTGATAAATGTTTTTCTTTTCTTTTTTCTTTTTTAAATCTTTCATCCTTTACATGTTTCGGTCAGAGTGACCATCTTCAGAAGGTCATTATCAATACATACAGAAACTATATTACAATATCATTGGTCATTATGCGTACATACAGACTACTATTGCAATGTCATGAACATAAAATAACAATTACAGCAATGTGCATGAATTTATTAAAATATTTGTAAATTATTAAAATTAGTCTATTTACAAGAATGGTTTAAAAACTTTGTTATAATCTAGAACCAATTTAGTTCATTTAAGCCATTTATGAATCCTAATTCTTTTGTTTTAGTTAAGCAATTTTATTAAAAATATTAAAATAAAAATTCACACATGAAACTGTGTAAGCCATGTACTTCTTTTGGCTTGTTTTGGACTTTATCCATCGTCTGGTATGTAAAAGGCAAAAGACCATGACGTTTCGGAGACTGGATCTGTCTCCGTCTTAAGGTGGGTAGGACCAGTGATTGAAACTAGCTCTTTCTAATGGGCCCAACTGAGTAGGTTTATCCTTTCCCTACCCGCCTGAAGACAGAGACAGATCAAGTCTCCAAAATGTCGTGGTCTTTTGCTTTTTACGTACCAGACGATGGATGAAGTCCAAAACAAGCCAAAAGAAGTACTCTATACACCATCGTCAGAATCCTTTCAAGTCTATCTGTGTAAGTCATGTTATCCTGTATTCTAACACATGTACTCACTGCAGGATTTGCTGCGGTACACTGACGACAAGAAGTGCCGCAAAGAGCTACAAGAGGCTCTAGACTGTATGCTCATAGTGCTCAAATGTGTGAATGACAGCATGCACCAGATTGCTATCACGGGTTTCTGGGTGAGTTGCTCCTTCACTGGAGAGTAGGTCAGTAATACTAGTGACTCCGACTCTGTAGTACTGAATGGTAGGATTGCTAGTGAATAATGAATTGGGATGAATGTGGAAGGAATTGGTTGTGTCCTAAATTTTGTAACTATCCTGCCATATCTGCAGAAACTAAAGAAAATGACAAAAAACTGTAGTCACAGTAATTGATCTTTGGGATGAGATTTGAACTCATGACCCCCAAGAACAAGAAGCAGGAGTGCTAATCACTCAGTGTGGTGTTCAGTGTGCAGATTCATCAGAGGTTTGAACCTGTATTAAACAAAATCACCAACATAACTGCAACCTTGGTTTATATTTCTGTCTCTTTGTGACAGCTCATTTATGTGCCTAAAGAAATTTTTGCACAGTCTGCTGACTACCTGAATTAGATGCATGGAGATTTCTTGTGATTAAATATATTCTGAAAAAATGATCCATAAATATTGATAAGCGCTTTTAACGTAATCTGCGAACAGAATAATTTTGACATTAAGTAGTCTGTATTCTGTTTTTACTTGAAGGGGAATAACTCTCAGTTGACCCAAGATCTCAGACCACACACTGGGCCCACTGTGCACCCCTGATCTTGCTGGGGCCCTCCAAAGGGCCTTGCCCCCAGTTCTAGAGCCAGAGACATCGTCATTGAGGCTCACCTGTTGTGTATCATCTCCAACCATGCAGAGCTGAAGGTCTTTGTTCCATGCCTGGCTAGTTCACTTATAGTTATTATTGAACTGAAACTATCATTCTGTAATTATACCACTTAATTGATTTATTTCTATACAAATTTTCTCTGAAGCTGGTATGTTTAAATACATAACCTTTATCGCTCTGTATGAAATTCAAATAGGTCTTGATCAATACATGGATTGTTTGTGGTTCTTGTAATAAACGGTGATTATTTTCCTAAATAGCATCAACCGATTGGTTTTTATGTTGAAGGCACAGTGTGTTTTCTGTTCAGTGCAAGCTATATTTTGAATGTTACATTAAGTCCATGCTTCAGTGGGTTTATATAATAATATTTGCCATCTGTAGGGTGAGTTGTCTGACCAGGGAGAGCTGTTGATGCAAGGTTCATTCTCGGTGTGGACAGACAGTAAGAAGGACCGTCTTCGAGAGCTAAGACTTAAACCCATGCAAAGGCACATCTTCTTATACCAGAAAGCTATGCTATTTTGCAAGAAGGCTGCAAAAGAAGTACATAACAAAGACACGTACCACTTCAAACGGTACCTTAAAGTAAGTTCTGCAACTTGATGTGTCTATTTCGAGGCTTGTAAGTTAATTTAACCTTTTTAACTCTGCTCTGTGATGGGTAGGACTTCTTAACCATTTCCCAGTCTTATATCCAGTTTTACTCCTCAGAAATACAGTTTTTAATGAAATATTTCAGAATAATAATCTTAGTGTAGAATTAAAATAATTCTTATTTATTAATGAAACATGTTACAGAAATTGTTTAAAGTGTCAACCTATGACTTGAAAGCGCATCTGAGCACAGTATTGCCAACCGCTTCGGTAATATGCCATGCTTAAATATCCATTCCTCCTGAATCACTCCGTATGTATAAGAAAATACTAGAGAACAAAATAACTTATCAAGTTTATGTCATTTATGAGAACTTTCTTTTATCAGATGTCACAGATTGGTCTCACAGAGTCGGTGAAAGGAGATCCTCGCAAGTTTGAGGTCTGGTTACAAGGTCGGCAAGAAGTACACACAATTCAGGCCCTGACAGTGCAGCAGAAAGATGCGTGGGTATGCGAAATCAAGCGTGTGCTGTTGGAGCAACTCACCGAACTCAAAGGGGAGAAAATTAGGCAGTACTCCCTGGCAGGCACCGGGAAACCAATTCATAGGTAAGTGTCATTTCATCCATAAATGTGTTCACACTGGTCAGATTGGTGTTGCAAAATGAGAACCAGAGAGAGCTGAAAAATCAAGTCCCAGTCACTGGAACCACTGTGGCTGCATTTTTCAGTCACTGTAGCCACTGTGGCTGCATTTTTCAGTCACTGGACCCACAATGGCTGAATTTTACAGTCACTGGAGCTAAAGTAGCTGCATATTTTAGTCACTGGAGTCACAGTGGCTGCATTGTTTAAATCACTTGGACCACTGTGGCTGCATTTTCAGTCACTGGAGCCACTGTGGCTGCATATTTTAGTCACGACCCACAATGGCTGCATTGTCCAGTCACTGGAGCCACAGTGGCTGCATTTTCTAGTCACTGCAGTCACAGTGGCTGAATTTTCCAGTTAGAAGAGTCACAGTGACTGCATTTTTCAGTCACTGGAGCTGCAGTGACTCAAATCACTGGAACTGCAATGACTGCTCCTGCGGGACATTAGAGTCACAGTGACTGCACTTGAGAATGACTGAAATGTTGTCGTGTTGGCAGTATGAACACCTTGTTACTTGATATTGTCATTGTTCCTCCTTTTTCCTAGGCCTCTCCGTCAGACCAGTTCATGGGAGAGTCATACAGGCATTCCAAACAACATGACTGCCTTCAATGCAGATACTGTTGCAAGACATCCATCGCATCCTCCACCCCAGCACACAGTATCAGAAAATGGTGAGGAGGAGGGCGAAAGTGGAGCATGGAGTTCAGATTACAGCAACAGTGAGGATGAGGACACCTATACCGAGCAGAGTGAGGTAAATTAATTGCTGTCCGGGAGGGCTGAGAAAATTACCTCAAGTGGTAGTGCATCTGCCTGACATTTTGGAAGTGCATGGTTTGAATCTGATCCAAGGCACTCACTATCCTGATTTCAGTTTTCATGGTTTTCTGCAGTCCATCTCTAGGCAGATGCTAGGATAGTAGTTTAAACTAGACCATATATGCTTCCTTCCACATCTTTCCCAATTCATTATTAATATCATTCAGCTGTTTGACAGTATATTTTCTGAGTTACTGACATCATTAAATAAATATAAATAATTATAATTTTCATTGAAAAAATATGTAATTAAAAGAATTTTAATACTGTTCATTTTAGCTATTTGCAGATCTTTTTGTCTTTCTGTATGCATAAAATTGAAGTGTAAAGGCGCGTCCACATTACTCGTGCTTTTGCTCATGAGTAATGTGGACGATATGACAAGTCACGAGACAAGCAAATTTTAAATTTTTAATGTAAAACCTATAGCCAATAAATTAAAATACGACTACAGCCTATACACATTACGAGTAAATATACGGATCCTCACGCGCCGAAGCCTGGCGAGCAACTGAAGTAGTGTGGACGAAGATTTACGAGCACAAGTAAAAGCCAGACAAGTCTCCTGACAAGCACAAGCCTGGCAAGCACGAGCACGAGTAATGTGGACGCGCCTTAACAGTGGAATGACCTTGAGTGTTGCTTCCTGGGAGTTTCCTATAAGCGGCAGGGCTTGCCAGTTGCTGGTACTGTAGCCACGTTCTAAACCAAAAGGGTGATAACACATGGCGTTCCAAAGGTTTAGTGTTGACTTTACAAGTAATGCATTTGTATGTAAGATATAAAGCTTTTACGGCTAATATGTGTGCCGAAATATTCTTGGGTCATCAGTCGTGTCAGTGTTGAGTTAAAAAGCAATGTGGTCATTAACCCTGTTGATGGAGGCAAAATGGATATCTGAAATGCCTATTTTTAACTCACCACTGCCACAGTTCATCATTTGAGAAGATTTCAGCAAATTAATTCACATATTACTGTAAACCAATGGCTGAAGAATTTTTTCCTTGTCACAAGAGGGCATATTTTTTGTTTGGGGTTTGATTATTATGTATATTTGTCTTAAACAGATTTAATTATTTTCTAGTCTTCAGTAAAAGAATTAAATTTAAAAAATTTTAAGAATCCCCTTCTTTCTTAAAATCTACTGTAAGGGGGGCACATGGTAGCGTAGTTGTTTGAGACACTATGCTACAAGTCGGAAGGTCGTGGGTTCAAGTCCTGTTGAGGTCATTGGACTTTTTTTCAGTTGACATAATCCTTTTGGCTGCACTTTGGCCCCGGGGTTTACTGAACCTCTAACAGAAATGAGTACCAGGAATTAATTAAATAATTTTCCTGGGGAGTAAAGGGCGGCGGGTGCGTAGGGCTGACAACCTTATCGCCATCTTTGAGCTGATTGTCTAGATAATGTGGGACCCTCAACGTCTCACAACCCTGTGGGCCTTCACGGCCTGTTACAGGGATATCTTTACTTTACTTTACTTTACTTTACTTTCATGTATTTTAAATTAATATCTTGTCTGGCAACCAGTGTCAAAGGTTTTCCAGTGCGCGTCTCACCTGCTGAGTGTGCGCGTGTTGCAGGCTGGAGGTCGCTTCACAGCACTTGCTGATTACTGTGCCGTGGGGCATAGTGAAGTCTCTATGCACGAGGGGGATGCAGTTGAGCTTGTGAAGGTGGGTTGTGCTGGATGGTGGTATATCAAAGTTATTGGTAAGTAAATTCACATTTCAGTTTCAAGATCCATGAACAAGCAATAAGTAAGACAGATTTACTCACAACGTAACAAACTGATGTAATCCCTTTTGTTTATTCGTTCTCAAAACTACAACAATCACAGAAAAAGTTTAATGGGCTTGAAATGTGTGTCGTTTTCCTCTGAAACTCTTGTTTAAAATGTTTTTCACTTCCATAAATATTTTAGAGTTCATGTGCACAGAAACACTGGCAGGTTGTAATGTAAAGTGTCTGTTAATGGCCGTACCATAGCTCAGGCAGTTAGTCACCGACACAGTAGATCATTGAAGGCCGCGGTGTGAGGGCCGGATTTTATGGCCCACCCCTTACACACCTACATATACACGTAGCCACCGGCTTCCTACTGTGGTGACCCAGGTTTGATCTCAGGTAAAAGTTATGTGGAATTTGTGATGGACAAAGTGGCACTGGGGCAGGATTCCTCCGAGTACTTCAGTTTCTCCTGTCAATTCTCATTCCACACCGACTGCTCCACACTCGTCTATCATCTGGGGCTGGTACAATAGGCTGATTAGTGACAGATGCACCAAGCGCACTCGTCTCACCCCACCCACCGAAACTAAAAGTAAAAGAATATCTGTTATTGTTGCTTAAAACTGGAATGTGTTGAAAGATTTAAGTAGAACCCTGTAATAAGAAATTTCATGAAAATGTGTTGAATAGCCACTGACTTGTTACAGAGAGACAGACATGGCCTAACTAACAGTCAAATTTTGTCAACTTTCTGTTGTGAATGCACAAAAATTATTTAGAAGGTCGTTGTCTTCCTGGAAGTGGTGCCATGTAACCTGATATATAGTTACCAATGTGTTGGAAGAACCTGCTACTTCCATCTCCATGTAGAAGATTAAGATGGGCATGTAAAATTGGTGTGGATGTAAGGAAACGGACATCATCTAGGGCTGGTACAATAGGCCAGAAGTGGCCGCAGTACACGGGACTTAGTCCCACCCCACTAGCAATTAAAAAAAGAAAGAAAGAAAGAAAGAAAGAAAGAAAGAAAGAAAGAAACAGACAACTGGGACCACGGCCCTGAGTTGACCAATAGGAGTATGGGAACATTGTTGAGTATAAAGCATGGGTGCTAATCCTCACACCAAAGCATTCATTGTGTAAATTTCTGTTTTCACTGTGTGTTCATGCATATTCTACTTCCGGTTTATTTCAGGTTCAAATTTAGAGGGCTGGGTGCCTTCTGCATACCTGGAACCATTTGGTAGGAGATCTCTCCGCAGCTCACAGTCGGTCAGCAGCCAAGATGGTGGCAAGTCCAGTGTTGCATTACCTTTGGCGTGAAAGCAACACCCATTCCTCGATACCCGAAGAGCGGTTGTCTCTGTTGTGATGATTGAGTTTCTGGATCCTTTAGAATTGAGCCATCCCTGTGTGATTTGTTCAGATTGTCTAATGCTGGCATTGGCTTGTAAGATTGCTAGCGATATTGTGAACCTTGCTGAGTACAAGTATTTGTGATAAAGATGTTGTGATTTTGTTATGAACTTATGGTTGTTATAAATCTGTGTGTAATAAAATTAAATAAAATTGAAATTTACTGAAAAAATTACAGGGCAAAGGAACAAAAAAATCAGATGCCCTTTGTATTTATCAGTTTTGAGATTACTGTCTTTTGGGAACGATGCCATATTTTCTGGTAGAAAGTACTAATGGTCCATAGTAATCTGTGCCTCCATCTTCAGGGTAGATGAATACACTGTGCAGAAAAATGAGAGTTACAGGTATAGGAAAAGGAGAAAAGGAACTTGGGCTGTGAGTGGGTGAGTGTGAGACAGTGATCCATAAAAGGCTATCCTTTCACATGTTAGGTACCCCCCTTTTAGGATGAAGTCTGCATCTAATCCCAGTATCATGTTACTGTGATGTACTAGCCCACCCATAGTCCTGGTATCATGGTACCATCACCTGTTTGCCTGGTACAGTAGTACCACAAACTATTTTTATGCTAGGAGCACCAGTTCTTTTCCCCATTACATATATCTTCTGGAGATAGAGACAACATGGTTCTCCAAAATGTTGGTACCCTTGTACAAGACTACATGAAGTCACATTCCAGAAGACAGTAATCCTCATAATGACCACCATGAGACTCACAGTCTCAAATCATTTTCTCATGTTTGTTGTGAATAAAGAAAATGTATGTATTATTCTCATAGATATTGTGCTTAATTTATAATTTTATTTATATTTAAATGTTACAAAATAAATTAATTTGCTTACTCCAAAACCTAGTGCTACAGGTTATTCAGTAATCACAGGGCTGTTTAATCAGAATTTATTTATACCCAAAATGGAGACTTTCAAGTCCGTGGTGAAAGGAATAAAATATTAAACACTGAAAATTGAATATATTGCATTATAGTACAGTGTGTTAATAAATGTATGAATTATATGCAGCAGAAAACCAGCTTCTAAGTATCAGAGATGAGAGAGTGGGAGATTTGCAAGGGCTTGTCTCACTGTCCAGGAAAGGTTTTAGAGAGAAAGAAAGATGACTTTGTAAGAGGAAGGCCTTCTAGGGAAACTGTAATGCCGATATTCTGGTCAATTAAGGAGCTTTTCTCTTAAAAGATATCTGGAATCTGAGGGGGTCTGTGGACTGTCTTCATATTGTTATAACTACAACACTGATTGATTTGAACTGATCTTAAATGCCTTTATTATTCATAATTCTCAGTATATTTAACAAATCAATCCAGAGCTTAACAGTTAAAAATAAACTAACTTAACCATTCCCATTATCTCTTAAAGAGTAATACATAAGCACATATTTTTGTTTCATCTCATTTATGATAAATTCCACAAACAGCTCCAAGCTTTTGCTATTTTGTGTTGTTCCTGGAATATACCATTATCATACACTGAGTTAATATTGCTTTATTTGAACGTTAGTATTCAATTTAAATTTGTAAAATGGTGATGATTCTGGGATAGAGAAATGCTAACCTAAATGTTCATGATTCCATTTCCTTCAATAAAGATATACCTCTATGACTTGATCTGCTATTAGGATTACTGAGGCCACAGAAAGAAGTCCCATAGTTTGTCCCCCTTCACACTACTCTCAAGCTGTTATGCTTCTGCCTTCAGTATACTTCCCTATATTCCCTGCCAGTCAGGAAGTTATTGTATGAAAGTTAGCAGAGGTAACCTTTGCTTATGACAAGCACTTTGTCCTGATTGATATATACCACAGGCAGCTGTAGGGGAACCTAAAAGTAAACATAAAAGTTAGACAGGTTATGTGCACTTCCAGAGAACTCCTTGGCCTCAGTGTAGTATCATCTCCTAAACAATAAATGTAATGTCTTGATTTGGAGGTTTGTAACCTGATATTGATGTCTCCATCACAATAGTTCCATTGGCTTTACTGCCATAACTCTGTTACTGAGACATACTTGTGAAACTGTTATCTAAGGTAATTCCAGTGAGATAGGACTGACTGTGAGATGTATTCCGATCCTTATCATCTCAAGTTCAGAGCTGTCTTATAGTCATGCACTGCTCTACTAAGCAGGGTTTTCAACATCAGCAATTATATCGGTGATGCAGTATTTTAGTTTATAATACATTTATACAATTTTACATTTGTTACTGGATTCTTAGTGTTCCAGATATAATTTTATCTATTTTCTGTGATGTTAATAATGCCAAGTTATTGTTGTTGCAGTTGTAATAGTTTTGTTGTCAAATGTTTGTTACTTTGGGATCAAGTTCATACTTTACCTCACGTTGTTTCATGTTGCAATGAAAGTTTTGTTGTTCACATCACATGTTCTTAAATTGTGGTGTTAAATACATAGGCAGGAAATACAGAGCCAGTTCTAAGATACTGCCTTTGTGTTAATTTTAAATATGTTTTTGGAAATACACAGTTTTTTCATTTTGTATTCTATTTAAAAATTACTGCTTTCCCATATTAGACTGGATAGTTGAATGAAACTTTCAAGAAGTATAGAAGGAAAAACCAGAAGTAAGAGAATAAGAAAACAGTTGAAGAGAAATTAAAGATAGATACATCAGAAGATAAACTAATAAATAACAGAATGGGATGGCATAGGCATGTTTTAAAAATGACCCAGAAAAAAAAAATCAGAATAAGATGAAACTAAAAGGAAAAATCATGAGACCAGGATGGAAACAGCAGGTTAGGAAAGGTTCATGCAGAAGGAAGGAACAATATGGGAGGTACTAAAGAGGGGACCTTTAGAAAGAGAAATATGTGGAGAGGTTTGTTAGGTGATACACATAAGAGTGGAAATGTTGAAGGAAGAAGAAGAATAAGATTATTGTCAATTGGGATGTGATTCAGTGTAGTCTGGTGGATATTTTCTGAGGTTTCAAGAAACCTGCTTTCTTCATCTTCAGGGTAGAAAAGTAAGCCGTGCCATAGAATATGGACTGTATACAGGAAATGGGGTACAAGGATTGAGGTTAAGAGTGAAACAATGGCAGCACAGCAAAACAATGTGCTTCTGCTAAACATCATGTCTCAGAAGACCGTAATCTTCATAGAAACTGTCATGAGAACCTAGAATCTCTGAAGAGTAAGATTTGTGATCTGCGTTAACAGCTTCTTCTGACCCCTCTGGCAAAGTCAGAATTCTGTTTATGTGGGACCACCAGCTTCCCATGATGATTCAGAGTCCATATTACACCACAGATCTGCACCTAAAAGCAGTATTAGTCTCTAAATAAGTGGAATTCTGTTCTCATAAGTAGACTCCTTCTTCAGCTCAGGTGTGCACAAACTTAAAATGCAAGATTTGATGTTGGTATGACCATGGCTATGAAGGTTACTGTACTGATAAATGTGAAGGAACCTGCTCCTTCCATCTTAAGGGTTGAAGAGTTGTAATGCTGTGGAGGACAACTACACAGCATCACATCCCCAAAGATAGTAATCTTCAGAGAGAATGTGTTACTTTTTTCATGTATCAAAGATAAGCTTGTAGTCCTGTTCACTTTCATTCAATTTTTGAGGTCTACCAATGTCTCTTCTTCTATATGGGTGTTAGTTTACAATTAATTTCATTAATCTTTCATTTGAGATCCATTCTGGTTGTTCTTCTCTATGAGTTGTTCTGTCTTCTGGGATATAATGCTGTGTAGTCTCTTGACAAAGTATACAATGTTTTATCCCAGAAGGTGCAACAATTCATAACCATGGCTGTGAGAACTTCAAATCCTAAAACTTTCTCTCTCAAAGTTTATTTTTACCCATAGAGATAGATATCTAACACCATTGTTTATCATCCATCTTTTCTGACCCTTCTCTTAAAAAATCTCAGTTGAGTGAATATATCTTGATCTTGTCTATCTTGGAAGCAAACCTCTTGGAATGTTATTAATAGTTCTACATGTCGAGTGGTATTTATGTTTTACTTGGTGTAATGGAGTTTTGCTTTCACTTCCCACTTTAAGGTTCTGAATTCCTTCAGCTGACTAACTGCAATGTGGGGACAAGATAAACTTCTTTCCATTCTGTTTTGTAATCTTGTTTGCAAAAGAGAAATGAAACAAGACAGAATTATTGTTTTATAATTGTATTGTATAATTATATTGTATAAAAATTAGGAGGCATACTTTTTCATTGTATACACACCCACACACATGCACACACATATTGTTAATGTTTGTTTTTTATTTTAAGCCCTTAAATATGACACGATATAGAAAGGATCGAATGAGTGTGTGAATTTATAAGAGGCCTGATTGCCTGCAGGAGTGTAATCCTAAAACCAAAGGGTGGTATGTACCACACTTTCAGGTTGAAATAAATAGGCATAAATGAAGGTTCAAGGCAATTTCACTGTTACCTCATGATAGGTTTACACTTTTATGTATAAAACTGAATGACATATAGCTCAGGAAATGCACGTAGCAGCTTAAAGAAGTCAATGCTTCCACCTAAGAGACTGGAAATTAAACAAGCAATAAGAGCATAATGATTCACATCATTGTCTTTAAAGGCAGTGCCCCAGCGCTCAAGAAGGCACCATGGCATCACCTCCCCCTCCCTCTCCCCCAGCTGCCTATACAATGCAGTGAAGAAGATAGCTGCCAGTACTGCATCATAACAAAAATACTCAGATAGCATGTCAGTATTCGTTTGTTTGCCATGGTTGCAAAGGAAAGGGCAGTTCTTTGCGGTTCTGATGTTACATAACAAATTAAATATGCATTCATTATAAGCTCTAGAATAGGCAGTGAAATAAATGCAGACCAGTGCAGACTAATATGCATAGCCTGTGTATATACTCTGTGTGTCATTGAAAGCGTTAATGATTTGTGTTAAAGTTGTTAAATATTCAGTAACTGGACTACAGTATAAATTTCTAATTATGTTCTCAACGTGTTCACTTCAGGTACAGCAGTATGCAACAAACTTCTTTTTAAGTATATACAAAATGTTATCATGAGAACCACAACTCATTCAGCATAATACAAGGGGGTATTTTAAGGAAAGCCTCTCATTTACAGTTTCTGGTAGCGGCCTCCGTAGTCTAGAGGTAACGTTCCCACCTCATGACTCGTGGTATGCGGGTTCAAACCCGGCGGAGGTCGTGGAATTTTTAAGGGCGGAAAAATTCAGGGAACAAGTCCTCTGGGAGGGACTTTAAGCCGTGGGTCCTGTGTTGTAGCTTTACGCACATAAACAAACCTCATATCTCCAAAGAGGTCACTGAGCCAAATTCAAGGACATTTCCCGCCCAACAGTAGTCTCTAACGCCTCTGATAGATGGGGGAAGCATTATAGATACCGCTAAGCCAGTAGAGGCCGAACTCGCTGGCTTGGTCGGGACTGATGGTATGCACCAATATCGGTAGGGTATAGAGACTGGTAGAATATCATAGAGGGAAGCACAGTGGACCAATACTGGTCTAAGTGCATGGGGAAACCCACGTTCTCCAATAACTAACTAACTACAGTTTCCGGTGACGACATTAAATTGTGAAAGCATGCTTTGACAGCGTTTTAAAGAAATTACCAATCTTTTGTTATGAAGAAAGCAGTCTTCTGGGCTTTGGCGCCGTGTATATGTGGTGTTAACCGACGTTTCGGAGGAACGTATCGCCCACATCTTCAGGGTTGAAGAAAAAGTATAGGTAAATCTGCAAGCGACAACACCGTGAGACACGGTAACGCAGTCTGCTTTACCGTGTCTCACGGTGTTGTCGCTTGCAGATTTACCTATACTTTTTCTTCAACCCTGAAGATGTGGGCGATACGTTCCTCCGAAACGTCGGTTAACACCACATATACACGGCGCCAAAGCCCAGAAGACTGCTTTCTTCATAGTCACCGCCGTGAAAGCCTCAAATCTTACAATCTTTTGTTATGTTTGTGACCTCTGGGTCCCATTTGTTTTAAACACATTTTTTGTTCTGGTATTCAGATACACAAGCCTCTGGGAGATAGTGGTATAATATTTAAAAATGCACTTCCATAAAAAGAAATTTGAGGCTTAAAATGAACTGTTTGCAGAATTTGAAAAACTTTGGTTTTTATATTGTCTCTTGTTTTCAATGTCCTGTTTCTGAAAAGAGCAAAAAAAAAAAAAGCCTTCCTAATCAGATGAATGTAGTTGTTTCCTAGTAGTTTTTATATATACCATGTATCTTGTACATGTAAGTTGTAGCAAGAAGAGCAGAAGTTGGTTTCTGTAATTATCAAATAATCATCTGCTAATGAAACAGCATGCAATATAGTGTTTTATAAAAACAGTTTTCCTACTTATAATTGTTGTTTCCATGTATTTTTTAATAATTTTCTTTAGTGCTCTATTTAGGAATTATACAGACACATTTTTGTCCCGACTGGTGGTGTTGATACTACTTTTATAATAATTTGTGAATGAAATATATTGATGAAACCAAAGTAAAAGTATGATAATCATCATATGTATATATCTGAATGTGTGCCAGTGAATGCGTGTTTATGTTTATAACTGTGTTCCTGACCTGATGTTATATCTTCTGGGTCAGGTGCCCAGCATGTGTGTCTGGAACAGAAGTGGCTCTTAATTCAAGAAATACAATCTGAGATAGAGTTTCTCATAATAACAGTTAAAATGTGTGATTTATATTCTGACTGTTCAGTTTTTCATATCTGAACTCCATGAACAAATCTCAGTATATGTTTCAAGCATGTTGACCGTTCATATATATCTTTTTTGCTTGTATGTCTTCTGTGTAGATACATTGTTCATTGACTGACATCCGTAATTGTACTAGCAAGTTAAGCATACATTTTCACCCATAGTAGGACATACTGATGTATTATGTTAACAAATCTGAAGTTAAAGAATGCTATGTTAGTTTTGAATATGATGTTTGAGGTTTCCATGGCGGTCTGTATTAATTGTAGAGTCTTTTCTGAGTGTTGCACCACGTCTTATTCTTCATCCAACTTGAGGCTAGAAGCCCATTTTGATGTTCATAAATTTTAAAAACTGATCTTCCTATCCCATTTTTGGTCTTCCTGTGTTACTCTATCCATCAAATCTGGGTAAGTATTTTTTTAGTCTTTGTCTTGTATCCTATTTATCTGATGTTTTTGGTTTAACTACTGTTTCTTTACTTCTGTGTTTTCAGTTTGCAGTACACCTCTTGTGTTTTAATATGATAGTCTGTCTCATAAATTTTGTACACATGGTGATCTAAGAAGTCTGTGTCAAAATGGTAAAAACATTGTGGCACCCAAAAGATTGTAGTGAGTGGTTTAATGTCCCTTGAATTTTGTGTCTGTTAGTTCTAACAAGCACAACCAAAGTGTGACAGCAAGTCAGTAGTGCATAACATCATATGGATTTGAGGTAAAACTGCTGAATTGTGCATAGACTGTATGGTAAGGTCTATCCTAAGCCCCAGTTAATATATTTTAATGAGAATAGGTACTAAGTAATATTGAAGAAAAATATAATAAATTAGTAACAGAAATAATAATGTTCAAGGAAATAAACAGTCACTATTCAGTAGTGTCATTACCATCTCTTCATACTACTAGCTGCTCATGGAAGAACAAGGCAATCAGGCACCATTAATTGGTGCAACAGTTGATGATTTTACAGAAATTGGTGACTAACTGGAATTATGAAGATGACAGTCCCCTGGATTGTAATGCTACATAGTTAAGCAAAAACCTGATGTTTTGGTCTCCATCTTCAGCAGTGAAGAGTAAGCCAAGCTAGATGCGGGTTACAACCTGCTTGAAACATGCTTCTGGTTTCTTCAGAAGTACTGGGTTTTTCAGACTTTGTCCACCATCTGGTATTCTAAAAACTAGAGAACACAGTGTTTCAGAAACTGGAACTGTTTCCACCTTCAGGTGAGTGGGGAGACACCAACTCTGTAGGGTCCCTTAGAAAGAGCTAACCTGAATCAGTGGAGTAGGTGTCTCCCCACTCACCTGAGGACAGAAACAGATCAGTTTCTGAAATATTTGTGTTCTCTAGATTTCAGAATATCGGACGATGGATGAGTAAAAAAACTCAGTAATTCTGAGTGTTATGCACCATCATCAGAACCTTTAGAATATACTTCTGGTTTCTTGCTTAGTTTATTCTGTGATCCTGAAGATGGAGGCAGCTTATTCCTCTGAAGTGTTGGTGGACTTAGACTGAACTACACAGCATTACAACCCACAAGACTCTCCTCTTTGTACTCGCTGCTGTGAGAACCTCAGATCTGTTATCCTGTTGTTAGTATTCTTTTAAACTAATGTATCTTTAAATACCAAGAGCAATTCATAATGTTAAACCATTTATACTGGTATAAACAGTAATAATTACCACCAAGAATTATTGACAATACTTTCATGAAGCGTGTTTGTTGTGTTTGTATACATTGTACTCCACTGTCATTTTGCTACCGTTTCAGATACCAGATCATGTATATATCAATAAAAAGGGGCCCATTCCAGTTCTGTATTCTGTTAACTCATTTAAATTGCCTGTCATTTTAATATGCATCGTTTATTATCTGTATGTATAAAACAGAATGCAGTGTATGATTGACCATGTGTTTCTGTAGTAGTTATGAATGGGGACAGTACATGCCAGCAATAAAGGCAAGTAAAAAGTAGTTATGCATCAGTCAAGTGTGACAGGTGCGGGTGTTGGGACTGGTTTAGTCGACTTCTTGGCTGTTTGCGATGTATTGTTAGAGATATGCCTCTTGCGTCTCTTTACTTCCTGGAAGTCGTCATCCTGAGCCATTCATTTCCAATGAGCGTTTGTTCATTGCTCCAATTTGTCCTGCCTGTGCATTCACCTTCAGGATGGTCTTCAATTCATTCATTGTTACCGCATACATGCCGTAAAGAGTAATACAATGCGGCTTCCAATCTAGAGCTTTGCAAAAATTTACTGTTCTCCATGCTATTCACAATAGAGGTCCACTCAGAGCTTTCCCTCACTTTAGCTGGTGTGCTTCCGACAAGGTTCTCAGTGCTACTGAGTACTTCATATACTTGTTGCACTACAGAAGCTGCTTCTGGATATTTGTCATGATGGAATGGTATTCGGATTTCAGCGATGATAGCTTCTGTTCCATTCCATTCCATTTATTTCACTTTCTAATTGATCCTGATACAGGCCTGTCTCCATTATATCCAGAATCCCAGTACTGGAACTTTCGCCCATATTGATGTACACTCAAATTCACCGACCTGTTCGTTTTTCTCACCAACTGCAACAGTTCAACTTCTGTTATCCTCCTTCCTGTCACTGTAGTTTATACTGTCTCAGCCGTTATACAGTCTTCACTAGTAGTGTATTTCTCATTTCCCAGCCTAACTCACTCTGACTTGTCTAACTCAAGTCGAGTGAATTTGCAGCCTGTCCTCTGACTCCCCGACCCACAATTCAGAAAATTCTTCTCAAAGTTGCCCTGCTTATAACATCTCGGCACTAACCTTTCCTGTGATATTGTGCATTTGTTGCGTTCGTCCCTAGGGGCAACCACGTGATCGCTACTAAGCCATTGCCTAGCAACGGTTCTACATTTGTACTATATGTCAGATTTAATTCACGTCTGGGAATTAGGCATTGTTGACGATAAAGAAGAAGAAGAAGTACCCAAGCACCAACACGTCTTATACTCGTTGGCCACACTGAGTACAGTGATAAAATAAAATGGCGGATAAAGCGTTGATGAAGGTGAGTGTTGTTGCTGTATTTTAACTGTTTTAACAACGTTGTCTTCATGTAATTTATGTATCCATGGAAAAGTAATAGACAGCCTCGTATGAAAGCAGTAAATACAGTTTATATGAATTGCGTGTCGTGTGTGCGACCAAATCTCAAAGAGTAACTTTGAGTCGTCGAAGTTTCAAGTGAGACCCAGTTATATTTTCATTACATTTTCGGTTTTACAATGCAGCAAATAGCCGAACAGAAACTAAAAGCATTCTCCATCGGCACGATGGGAAAACGACAAATGTCTAAAAAGGAATTAGAAGATCAACGCAAGAAGGAACAAGAGGAAGCAGCTGCCCAGGTTCGTCATAACAAGTAAAACAGCATGATACACTATTGAAGTGTGTACTATTTGTTTTATTTTTAATTTGTGATTATTCAGCATTATATATATTAAGGTTGACCATTGATCGTCGTGCCAGGCAAAATTTTCTGTTGTAATATTTGTCTCATCTCTTTCAATTCTTGGCTAAATATTCTTCCTCGAAAATGGTGGCAGTAGGCTCCTCCTAAAAGTTTTTAGCGATATACTAGACTACACGGCGTCACATCTTGGAAGGCATTTTCCCAGTCACTGCAATGAGATCTTTTAATCTCATTCAAACCTTATCTCTAAGCCACGAAGTTCACCTAATTAATCATTTTTAAAAGTCCTGTTTTTTAATGGTGTAATTGTCCTCTCATTCAGGCTTTTGAGGAGTTTGTGGCAACATTCCAAGAAACACCCAGTAAGGCTGGAAAGGTGTGGGTTAAGGCTGGCACATATGATGCTGGGCGTCGACGTAAGTACAAAATTGACTGCAGTTTTTAGGTTTGTTTAAGCTATTCTTAAGTGGGGCCCCTAACTCTCTTTGGGAGTTTCAAGTAACAAGATATAAGATTTAATCAGTTTATACCACTCTTCAAAGTTTCCTTTTTTTTTTTACTGATCAGAAATTCAGTACTAAACCATTTCTTAAACATTCAATTATTTAAGCTTATTTAAAATTTCTTGTATTCATTATAACTTCATATGAAGTTAACTTGCATATTCTTTAATTTATAATCAGCATTTTGATGTTCAAAATATGTAATGTTCCATCCATGATATAGTGTGTAATTTTTTAATGTATTTTATAAAAAATATCTTACAATTTGAGTAGTGATAATTCTTACCAATGTAGTGTCCATGCTGTTGGGGGCCACAATTTTAGTCCTAACACTGAATTTATCATTCAAGATTATAATGCAATAGTGGAATGGAGAATTCTGTTATAAACAAAATTGAAATACATCAGTGTAAAAAATTTTCAGTGTAGTTTGGTACTGTTACTTTTACTATGAATTGCTTTACAGTCTTGTTCTTGTTTAAATGGAGTTAGCAGTGATGTTGCATATTACAGACCCAGCTATTATGAATAATTTTCATATTAGTTGTTGGCCACATTTTATTTTACTTGTTTATGGTTTTTTAACATTTCCATTAATAGCTCAGTCACTGCAGGTTTGAATGCTAGGTTGATTTACACATAATGAATTGGAAGGATTATGAGTTGAAATTGTTGTCACTTGAATTGAGGCCACAAGTATTAAGTGTGTAGTGCTGTATGTTCATGCATAGTAATTTAACCATTTAACCTCAGACCTGCATATTTTAAGTACAAAAGTATCCGTGGTGCAGTTTAGATGCATAACCAATTGCAGTATTCTATACGTGGCAGTTTTAACATGTGAAATAAAACAAATGTGTTATTTCATGTTAAAGGCAACGTGCCAATGTATCTGTTCGGGGTATATGTATATAATGTAATTTACTTTAATCGGTTGATATTTAAATCTTAATTATATCACCTGAAAATGACACACACATGCTGAAACATGTCATAACCAATAAGCATACTTGGTAGCTTAATTAGCAGTTGTATCACTCCCTCACTCCTGGAGCTGAGCCCTTCTTGAGAAGCTGCCAATTGTGCAACCACTCAAGAACTACCCAGCATTTTATGGAACCCAAAGGTTCATTACTGTGTTCACAAGACCCCTCCAGTGATCCTATCCTGAGCCACACATCAATCCAATCCACACTATTCCATTCTATCTCTCTGAGATCCATTTTAGTATTGTCAACCCACATACACCTTGGTCTTCCCAGTGGTCGCCTTCCTTCCGGCTTTCCTACCAGTATGCATTTCTCCTCTCCTCCATTCGTGGTACATGCCCTGCCCATTTCATCCTCCTTGAGTTGATCGTTCTAATTATACTTGGAGAAGAGTACAAGTTTTGTAGCTCCCCATTAATTAACAGTTGTGTTGAAAAGAAAAATAAATAATACTGAATACTGAATAACAAGTTATTCCTAATATTAAATCTCATAGAGGAAGACACAAGGGAGAAGGGAAAGCTCTACAAGCCACAGTCTCGACTGTCAGAACTAGCAGACAAACTCACAACTGCAGAGCGAGCGCAGGAATATGCACGGCTGCTTGGCGACCGGAAACCAGATCGTCCTGGAAAGAAACGAGACAGGGAAAAAAAGAAAAGCAATTTGGAACTGTTTAAGGAAGAGCTTAAACTGTAAGTAACTGCATGTTTTCATTTGGTTTTTGTGTTCTGTATGAATGAAGGTAGAAGTGTCCATTATTTGCCTGGGATTTGGTTGTCATTTTGTCAGTATCACAGTACATAGTAGTTAAAACTTTGAAAAAGAAATGACACTCACGTTTAAAAATCAGAATTTAATTATGAAAATAAAGAGAAGACTGGGAATGAGGCTTTAAATCACTTCCAAAAATATTCTGCAGCAATACTTGTTACATTGCATTGGCAAGAGTGCAGTATAAGTTGCATGACATGTTTTACTATTCTCCATTGTGTCCACAGCTGGAAATGGAAACTGACAGAAACAAATAGAATTTCATGTATATCAGAAGGTGTATGTGTGTGCGGGCATGAGCACGTGAGAGGGAGAGAAAGGTCTGGAATGACATAAGGTTTTGTCAGTCTGTCTTAACTGCCTCATCTTCTTCTGCCCTCCAGTGAAGAGAACATGAGGCAGTTGGTTGCTAGAACTGGTCGACCTTGAGCTTTCTACTATTTATTCAGGGATACATTAAGTTTCTGTTTGTTGATAGCAATGGTTAGAATCACCTGAAAGTTATGCTGTTTTTTTGGCATGTGCAGTACACATGTTACACGTGGTTAATTTGCTTGCCTTCGCTTATTATTGGAGGATAGTATGTTGTCAGTAAGTAAAGTAAATCTATCCCTGTAACAGGCCATGAAGGCTCATAGGGTTGTGAGATGTTGAGGTTCCCACATTTTCTAGACAATCTGCTCACAGATGGCTGTGAGGTTGTCAGCCTTAAGCACCGGGCATCCTTTACCCCCAAGAACATTCTTGGTACTCATTTCTCTTAAAGGCTGAGTCAACCCCAGGGCCATATTGTGGCTGGAAGGATTAGGTAAATTAAAACATCCACCTCATTGAGATTCGTTCCCACTACCAAATATGTTGTCAGTGTTTAACCTTATTGTCTCTGTGTGATGTCATTGTGATTATGGATGGGTCCTGAAGGCCTAGCATTGCATTGTTTTCAATATGAATGGCATTTCGGCCATTTCAGTATCCTGCCACTTACGCTATAGTAATGTGAGATTTAAATCTTCCCTTCCCAAATATTAAGGGTTAAAATTGTGTACCAAGAAGATGACGGAGCTGAGAGATCACCCCTTGCTATGTTTCAGTATTCAGGAAGAGAGGGAAGAGAGACACAAATATAAAGGTGCCATCAAATCTACAATAGAAGACGGAGCGCCTGCAGTAAAGACGTGTAAGTTTAACTTATAGTGGCCCCCACCACCCAGAACTGTGACCCATGTTCGTATGACATTGCATTGAGAAAGTTCCTATGTTGCACAGTTATCACACCCTACAATAAGATGGTGATGTTACTTTATTTAATATATATATGAAAGACCGGTATCGGAATTATGGTATTATAAAGATTTATTTCTGTGAGCAGCTGAAGAGTCCAAATATGGTTCATACGATAATGGAGATCCGACAACCACAAATCTGTACCTGGGGAACCTGAATCCAAAGGTATGTTACAAGTTTTTCATGTTAAATGCGGTCATACTGTCTCATGTGCATATACAGTGAAATCCCAATTTTCTGTTTCTGTTAGCGGCCTAATGCGAGCAGTTTAATAACTGAAGAGGTCTGTCTTCTGGGATATATCACCGTGTAGTCTGTTGAAAGTTGACCGACATTTCAGAGGAACACATCCGTCTCCATCTTCAGGGTTGGAGAATAAGCAAAGCAAGATATCAATGTGAAGAAGGTTTCTGATGTTTCAGCAGACTACATGAAGTTGTATCCCAAAGATGGAACTCCTTATAACCATCATTATGAGAGTCTCGGATACTACATGGTTTATTATCTTGACTTAGTAAATAACCCGTGTTTAGTGAAAGAAATTTTTGACCTTCCAGAATTTGTACCTTGATTTAGTGTGTTTGTGGTCAGTGCAAGAGCTAGTATTCATGTCTTTCTCACAGTTTGAAATTGTTACTGCACAACCATGATCTTTGGCATGTGACATCACATTTTTGACACACCAGAATCATTCAGTTTGTGACTTATGTGCTTTGATTCTTGACTGAGATTCTTTCATTTTGTTTTGTTTCATATGTAATAAGGAATTTATTTGATATTATTGATTATGTAATTCTGTTTGTGTATAAACAGTTCTTGTAACAACTTATTACCTATAAAGAAATTATTTTGTCATAATTAAATTAAGTCTTTTAAGAATATGAACAGTTTCTTGGTGTCATTTTATATGACTCCCATGCCGGGAAAACCTGAATTTACTATCAGAAATGCATTTCCCCCAAAATGTAGTAAATATGGATTTCACTGTAAATAGCACATTTAAAGAAGGTTTTCTGTTCAGAGTCTAAAAAATATGGTGATGTATTTTAGTCACAAATAGGACAAATGTTTAGATGAACTTGGTTACAGAGCATTCAGTGTTTATGGTTTTTCCGGACTGTTACGTGCTTTGTGCACTTTGTTTCAGATCACAGAACAGCAGCTGATGGAAGTGTTTGGTCGGTATGGACCCCTGGCCAGTATTAAGATTATGTGGCCCCGATCAGACGAAGAAAAAGCCCGTGGAAGGAATTGTGGTTTTGTAGCCTTCATGAACAGAAAAGATGGGGAGAGAGCCCTGAAATTTCTTAATGGTATTTAAGAATTTTTAATGTGTTCAAATTATTTTATGTTTTTTAAGTAAAGATGATAATATTGCTCTCATTGCTTCTTTTGGAGTGAACCAAGGAAGCATCAGGTTACATGATTTTATTGTGGGAAGTTGTCAGTATCTTTGAAGGTAAAAGTTCTGTTGGCCACTTGCCAGAATTTAGTCATTATGTAATTTCTCATCCTTGTGAACTGAAATATAATTTTTATTTTTCTTGTGGATTATTTTATGATGCCTTGAGTATTGCACCAAATGGTAAAGTGATAGATGAATTGGAAAGGATTTGAAAGGAAATTGTCATGGAGTAATCAGCAAATGCTTGGAGGAACTGAGGAAAACTATCAAAAACCTTAGGGCAGCTGGTTTCCCAGCTAAGATTTGAACCAAGCACCTTCCAAATAGAAGTTTAGAACATTACCATGACACCAGTCTGTCTGGCAAGTTGCTGTTAAAGCACTGTGTTTATTAGACGGAACAGTTCCTTCCTTAATACTTGCACATTCACCGCCGTGCCCCCGTACTGAGATTTTAGCTTCTGAGCCAGCCATGTATCCATGGAAACTACATACAAAACAAATGGAAGAGAAGAAACAATCCATAATCACTGCATGTACCATGCCTTTTAGTCTAAAAATTTGAACGATACGTTCTCTGCATTTGAGCTACATCTGTAGAGGAAAGTGCACTTACATATGCAGTGGTAAGAGCCCATAACATGACAAGTTCAGCATTGGTGTACAGCAGGCATGTCCAACTTCAAACAGGTTGTGGTTGACTTTGTAGTGTCAAAAACTGCCAGTGATCTAGCACCCCCTCCTATCATTGTACCTCGCTTTAAGCAAAAATATTTGTAAAAATAACATGACACATGATGTTTGTTGTAAAAGCAACATACATTGAAAGTACGGACAAATTTAATACATATTTTCTCTTCAAAATCTGAATATAATATTATATTACAAGTGAATTTACATGCTTTTCACGTATAATTTCCGCCTATGAGATCGATCGGTCAATCGCGATCGACACTCTGGACATGCCTGGTGTACAGTAAACTTTTGTCCTTCAGGTGACAGAATTGGTAGTGATTGTGTTAATAACATAACATAACATTGCATTCCATGGATCCAAAGTTAGTCAAAATGACTGTAGGATGTGGAATATGTAATATAAATACAAAACATACCGTATTTACGCATGTATAGGCTGCGTGCGTGTATAGGCCGCAGCACAATTTTCAGACAGAAATTATAGACAAAATAATTTTCTTGGAATATTATTTCAGGAGTATTACACCCTGTATTACTAATTATGAATATAATTTTTTTTTAAATGAAATGTGATTTCGAATATAAGCCGCACCCCAGTTTTCCTCTTGAATTTTTGGCAAAAAATGTGCGGTCTATACATGCGTAAATACGGTATGTGCAGTCCCAATGGAGTTGTGACACAAGAGAAACCAAGAGTATTGTTTTGGGGATGCTGAGCTGTTCTGTCCATAACAGTGAAATGGTTAATAGTCGCGTATAATAAACATAAAGGATAAATGTGTTTAGAAAAAGGTTACATTGTAACACTTGTTTGTTGACAGGGAAAGATGTGATGGCATATGAAATGAAGCTGGGGTGGGGCAAAGCAGTTCCGATACCCCCACATCCAATCTATATTCCGCCTGCAATGCTTGAACTAACCATGCCACCACCCCCTTCAGGGCTCCCGTTCAACGCCCAACCTAGCAAGAGAGACAAGCACAAGGTAAAACAGACAAATAAGATCTAAAAGTTTGTGACGATGGTAAATTGTTACAATTAATATGTTGCTGGACATTATCCATCATCTTGTCTGTTCTTAAAAACCGTCCTGTTTCTTAAAAAAAAACGTTTTGGGGACTGGTTTTTGTACCCGTCTTCAGGTAAAACCTACTCAGTTGGGTCCAGTAGACAGAGCTATCCCCTATCTCCGGTCCGGAGACTAGGAAGTGTGCACCTTTCATTCAGTTGGTTTTGAATTTAACTATAAAAGAGCCAGTGTGAATCCCATATTAAGAAATAACATCAACTTCTTTCTCACAATATTGTATTTAAGCATCTTGTTCCATTAACATACTTTTCATTCACACACTATACTTCCGTCCCCAATGCAACCTGATTATTATCTCCTTTTTCCACTACACGTTTCGGCCGCACACGGCCATTGTCAGGTGTGTCTATTTGCTAAAACTGTTTTCGCTGTGTAGTATGTGCAACTTCACGTACCACATGTAAATGCAATATATCCCATTTAAAATAAGTGTACTCTATTAAAAATCATTAAAACAATTAAAACTCAACAAATTTCTGCTTTGGGGCTGTTGTTCTTTATCCAGTTATCACCGTGTTTGGATTCTTTTTGCAGTGGCATGGGTTTTATGTATATGTAGTTTCCAGTTTTGTTGGTGCGGTTATCGCATATGCCCCTTCGACTGTGTTTTCCGCCCTGCCCGCTTATAGTATTGTTTTTGTTCTGTGTATACAGGTCCTGTCTTCTCACAAAACATGAATCTGATTAACATAAAATCCTTATTTAATGACTGTGCGAGGGACTCACTTTTCTTATGCTACTTTGATATTTTTCAGTAAATGTGAGTTAATAAAAATTACAACAAGAAACCATCTAAAACTTGCGCTACACAATTATGAGAAAAAAATTCTTTACATAAGTAGTTAAATAAACTGTTTTTGCATAAATAAATGCAGTATCATAATCAGTAATATCTTGATACTGAAGATGACCAATGTTGGTCGAAGCATGTACTGTGCATACACCAGTTATGTAGGCAAGTTTCACGTAAGACGGCTAATAACTAACAAGGAATAAACAATAATATCTTAATTTCTAAAATACTAATGGCATGACAATAAACACTGAAAGTAAGTTGCTCAAGAGTCAAAACGATTACGATGTCATAACATGTGTGGCTTATATGTGTGTTCGCTGTGTGATATAAGCTCATGGTTATGTATAACAGTTTCCAGCAAACAGGTGATATGATTGTAAGATTTGAGGTTTTCACTGCGGTATCTATGAAAAATGCCGTCTTCTGGTATGTAGATTACAATATGTACACGGTGCTACATTCCAGTAGACGGCTTTCTTCAGGTGATATGATTGTTTTCATCATAATCAAACTGCACTGAAATAAAAGTTGCAGAAGGTTGAAAATTAAATGCTGGTTATTTACTGAATCAGAATTTACTAACTACAGGAAAATAATATGTTGCTTGTATTGGACTTTGGTTGGGACCAGCGAAAGTATTCACTAAATACAAGATTTTGCCAAATGAAAAATTTCACTATAACATCTTAGAAAAAGAAAAACTTTAGAAAAATATCTGAAACCTACGTAGTAGGAAGGGGGACAGAGTTGAGATTTGGAAGTAAGTCGGTACACATTATAGACTTTGACTGTAAATGGAGGTAACTGGTCATATTCATGCCTCCGTTCCATTTTCCCTATCATAGACCCCCTCTGCATCCCATACACATTCACTGGAAGACTGGGAACCAGTTCTAGACATGGTTTCAAAGAAAGAAAATTGCTTGTCCCTTCAGGGACCTAAACCCAAGACGGCAACCCTATCAACCACTGATTTTATTGACAGTTATACCAGCTTAAAAGATTGAAAGATCCCTGTTTGGCAGTCCCCTTAACCAGGCAGCAAACTTAATAATGGGAAGGAAGTGGATTCTGTTTCTGATCACAGTCTGTTTTTCAGGTTCAAAACTTGCGACCAAATGACCCGTACCCAACCGAGAGTAAAGAAAAGGATGAACTAGACAAGGTAACGTTTATTCTGTCAGTTCACCTCTCCCTACTGTACATTTAAGTTCCTATTTACAGTAGATGTTTAGATGAGCCAAGAGCGGTATTCCTAGACACTTCAAGGTTACGGGTACATGAAGCCGTGTGCTAAAACATAAATTGGAAGTGGAAACAGAAGTTATGAAAAAGACAAGATGTTGCACCAACATAGGCCTCAGTACAATGGTTAACACTATTCCTTGATGTTTGGGTCTAAGTTGAATCTTTTCCAGGAAGTCAGGCTGTTGTTGCAAAGTTTTTATGTTTTTTCTCAACATCTACTCTTTATTGCTCCAGATATAACAATTTTCTTTCACGTTATATTCCATTTATCACTCTCAGTGCTTTGAAGACTGTTGTTTAGGGAAATAATTGCTGTTTATTGTGAAAACATGACCCAAGGTAGCTACTGTAAGGGAAACAGTTATCTCTCATATCATAATCTAGTTCCCAATCTCTACAACATGACCCAAGGTAGCTACTGTAGGGGAAACAGTTATCTCTCATATCATAATCTAGTTCCCAATCTCTACAACATGACCCAAGGTAGCTGCTGTAAGGGAAACAGTTATNATCTGTACAACATGACCCAAGGTAGCTACTGTAGGGGAAACAGTTATCTCTCATATCATAATCTAGTTCCATATCTGTACAACATGACCCAAGGTAGCTACTGTAGGGGAAACAGTTATCTCTCATATCATAATCTAGTTCCATATCTGTACAACATGACCCAAGGTAGCTACTGTAGGGGAAACAGTTATCTCTCATATCATAATCTAGTTCCATATCTGTACAACATGACCCAAGGTAGCTACTGTAGGGGAAACAGTTATCTCACATATAATCTAGTTCCATATCTGTACAACATGACCCAAGGTAGCTACTGTAGGGGAAACAGTTATCTCTCATATCATAATCTAGTTCCCAATCTGCACAACATATTTCCTTAAAATCCATTTCAATTGTATTCTCTCATATCTCTGTTGGTGTCCCTTGTTGCTACTTTTGAATAGTTTTTCGTGTGGACGCTCATAGGGTTGTGAGACGTGGAGGCTTCCACATTTTCCAGACGGTCGGCTCAATGATTATGAGTAGGAAAGAACATTTTCGTTTTTAGAAGTGTCTGGGATTTATCTTCGTAATTCATCATATAAAGATTGAAACTTGTTTATTGATGCTTTCATCACTGTTAAGAGTAGTGACTGCATATGTTGTACAGCCGTCACATTTATTGAGTATTGAAGACTAATTTTGTGGTATATCTAAGTAGGGCAGGCAAAGCTTACCATATCCGTCACTTCTTTTCGTTGGGGCTGGCAACATATAACTTATTTGTGTTCTTATTATTATCAATAATATTATTATAATACAAGTTTCATTTCTGTCATAATGTAAATTTGGATTTTCCTTTCCATTGGAGGTTCACTCTTACAGCACAACTTAAAGACCTCTTTATTTACTGCCATGAAAACACGGTGCATGTATCGTAATTTTTCGATTTGTTCATATTTATGAAACCCCCCCTCATTTAAGGTTTCCGAGGAAAATCTTAAATGGAGGAAATATAACGCGATGATTATTGACTTGGGATCATTGAATCTGAGCATTGAAGGAAGGAAAACCTTGAGCTGAATACATTAAATGGGGGTCTCCATATTTTTTTTCTTCAGAAAATGGAAATCATAAAATCAGTTCATACAAAGATACATGGTGAAGGTAAAGGCTTCCTGTTATTTAGTGTTTCATTTCTGTGGTCCTGCCATTGCTGTTGCTCAGACTGCATTTGAACTTAGGGTATGGTTGGACGACAAGGGAATTAGGGTTTGATTCCCAGTGGGGACGGAATTCTTTCTTTTTGCCACCATATCCAGATTGGCTCTGGAGTGAACTTAGACCCTGCCCGATAGGTACTGGGGACTATTTCCCGGGGATGTGAAGCTCACCACTCACCTCCGTGTACTGTTAGATTGATTACCGAATGTGGGTAGCAGCTCCTCCACACCTTACCTATCATTGGAATGGGTTGGCTCTGCTGCCGTTCAGCCACTTTTCAGCACAATTCATGTTTAGGACCCAGTCAGTAGAACAGAAGGGTATGAAGGACTGGAGCCAGAACTCCATGTGTAGGCAAGTGTTGCAGAGCAACCTGCTGCTTCCATCCACAGGGTAGAAGAGCAGATAAAATTGGAAGAGGGAAGTTGGAGGCAGCAGGTTCCTCTGCAGAATGTTGCTAACATTCTATCAAACTACATGGTCTCTAATCCCAAAAGACAGTAATCTGTATCTATCTCCTTGTTAGCAAAAATTGTCGCAGTTACCCTATACAAAGCTACTTCTCATCCTCACATACTTTTTTTTTAAACTCCATTATCCTCCCATCTATGATTAGATCTTCCAAGTAGTCCTTTCTCTGCCCCCTGAGAAGAGAGTTTCCTCACAATATTTTATATACGTTTTTTGTCTGACTCGCCTGCCTCACACCACAGTTTTATCGGTGTAAAGTTTCCTCCATTTCAGATGTTTGTCTTATCATTAATATCTGCGCTCCTGCAGCGGAAACTTAAATGTAGATATCAAAATTTAAAATGTTGATTTCCTAATGTTGACTTCGTCAGATTTTCCACATGTTTGCACTTATATATTCGTGCTAGTGTGGTATTAATTTATCTGGTGCAGTGCGTTTGTGTCCCTCAAATAAACTGTCTCGCCGACATAACCAGAGGCAGCAATAGCCGCTGGCCTCTGAGTCACTCTGGCGTGAATATGTTGCGGAGGATTACTGTTTTAGCTGAAGTGTTTTTAACAGGCTGAACCATCTTGCCTTCCCTTGTCTAAAACTGACCAATAATCTTATTTTAGAAATGCTCTATAGGTCAGACCCGATATAGTTTCATTTTACCATTTCTTTGAATGTATGTGGTAAACTATTTGATAAATGTGTGCAGTGTGCAGAGTGATGATTTTATTTGTGGTGGAGGAATTTTGATACATGCAAGACCTGTGATTCTTGCTGTGGTGAATACTAAAATTAAATTACAGTCTTCTGGTTTGTGACACCATGTTATTTGGTAGAGTGGTGCTAATGCTCTGGAGGAATCCATTGCACCCATCTTCACTGCAGAAGACTGCATGAAGATGAGGCAGCAGGTTTCTCAGATGTGCATCTGCCAAATTATGTGGTGTGTCATCGCACAAGACCGTAATCTTAATTTGAATATCATCTGTTTTCATGAGAAGGTAGTTGCAGGTAAAGTCAAGGGATTGATTAATGTGCAGATCATATGAATACTGTCTGATGTGTGTTACTGTTTCTGCTGCAGCTTAACATTCGTGTTCTTTGAGTTACTCTATAATATAGAGTAAAATTGCTGTAACATTGGTTACAGTTTTGTGCGCGAGTTTAAATGTACCTTTTTCAATTGCTGCAGATTGGAAAATATAACAGAAGGTACCTCTGAGCAGGTTGGTATACTGGTAATGCTCTTCTAGACTTAATCCCAGTCAGAACACCTAATATCCTGACTGATGAGTTCCCCCCCCCCACAGTACTTCCTGGGTTGTCTGTAGAGCTTTGCCAGTATACTGGCCCAGATGAGCTGCTCCCTCCAACTTTATTTCTCCTCCACCTCCCATATAGGTTTTCTAAACAATGCCGTATATGCACAGAAACTCAACAACCTACGCATTTTAACCTGAAGATGGAGGCAGCATGTACCTCTGAAATATTAGCAATATCACCCAAATCTATACGGTGTGATACCTGGTTATTTTTATTTTTGTTAACATATATATTCTAGGAATATGAATTTTTTTAAAATCTCCAAGGATCACTGAATTGGCTGCTGTATTTTAGTTTGGGGAGAGATAACAGTTCTTCTGTGGGAGATTTGAGGTTCTCATGGTGTTAAATACGGAGTACACTATCTTATACACTGTCTGAAACTTCCCTTGAAGTTGCATCATCATCAGTTAATGACACAGAAATTTATTATGTTCTGTGTTCAACATGTATGATGGGAACCATGTTCAACATTCCAGAGATCTCGCTGAATGTACAGGATATCTCTTCCATGAAGTTGCCTGTCTAATGTATGACATACCCCCAGAGATGTTTTAGGTAGGCTATAAGGTAATTCACATAGTGGGGGGTGGAGTCTAGTTGGATCGACTTGGCACATCAGCCACTGATTGGCCTATTGTAGCCTGCCCTGGGTGATTATGATGATTGAGAATTTGGTGGAATGAAGATTGGCAGGGGAAACCAAAGAACTCTTGAGAAAACCTGCCCCAGCGCCATTTTTGTCCATTACAAATTGCACTTGACCAGAACCGGGCTGCCGCAGTGGGAAGCCAGCGACTATTTTTTTTATTGCTAGTGGGATGGGGCCAAGTCCTTGTACTGCGGCCACTTCTGGCCTATTGTACCAGCCCCAGATGGTAGGTGAGGGTGATTGTGGATCAATTGGTGGAATGAAGATTGGCAGGGGAAACCAAAGAACTCTTGAGAAAACCTGCCCCAGCGCCACTTTGTCCACCACAAATCCCACTTGACCATCCCCGGGATCGAACTCGGGCCACCACGGTGGGAAGCCAGCGACTAACCACTTGAGCTATGGCACAAGCCAGCGACTAACCGCTTAAGCTATGGACGCAGCCAAGGCTATAGGGTAATCTGCTCTTAAGATGAAGATAGTGTGTTCATCCAAAATGTTGGTGACAGTCTACTAGCCTGCACTGTGTCACACCTCAGAAAACATTGATCTTAACAGTTGATTGTCCAGTAATATGGAAAGTGTGTTGATCCAAAATGTTTGTGACAGTCTACCAGCCTGCACTGTGTCACACCTCAGAAAACATTGATCTTAACAGTTGATTGTCCAGTAATACGGAATTTTTCCAGCCTCTGCAGAGCTGGTAGACATATTTTTAGCCAGAGGTAACAATATTAAAATTGAAATAACACTCAGCCAGATGGACTGTGTTGCTAAGGGCTAAGAATGAAGCTACAGTAGACACTTCAGATGGTATCTCTCAGTTCTGACTTTGCCTGTAATGCTCATGTACGATCGGGTGACCTGACTGGGGCAGTGACACTTGTTAATTTTCCAGCCAGCTCGGAGTATGTGCAGATATCTGTCTGTTGTATTATCACATGTGAAGGGTATGTTTTGATGTTGGTGCTGCTCTCCTCACAGATTTTATCCCAGGCTGTTGTCAAAGTGGTAATCCCGACTGAAAGGTAATGTACACAGTCACGAATACCCTCAATTTGTTCTCTTACCAACAGGTAAGTTATTAGATCTTTGCTTGCTTTGGTAGCAGAAGGCTTGGTAACACTGTTCCTTCCTGACGGATATTTTCACACTAACTCATACGTTATAATGACACCTAACACAGCAGTTCAACTGTCGTATCATCTACTTTGTGAATAATCACCATGCTGTCATAATTATATTCATCTTTTGTTATTTCCAAGTATGGACATAAGTACTGTAGTCTCTATTGAAAGAAGAAAGTCCCACAAACAATTTGAAACAACCTAATACATGGACCCTTAAAAGAGGTTTTACACAAAAAAAAAGTTTAAATGCATAAAGAGTTGACTTTGTGAGACATATTTAAAAAGATAAAGATTGTTCTGCTGACAAAAGTGGTAATTGTGGATCTTGAGTGTTCAACTTTAATCACTTTTTAGGTAAAGCAAATGTAAATATATGTTTTTATTTGTTAAATTTACATATATTATAATTCCTTTGGGTAAGGAACCCACAATCCAGAAAATCACAATATCTGGAAAGGCTTTGATTCCAAATTTTCCAGGTAATGGGTCCCATAGTCTAATCAAAATATGAAGGAAGAAGGCATATGAGATGATGTAGCAAGATACTAGAAGCTATTAAGAACATAAGAAGAGCTGGAAAGAAATCAAAAAGAAATTGTGGGATAAAAGAAGAGATTGGAAACTTGTCATCCATTTATGCTTATAAAATACAAATGGTGCTAGAAGTCATTGTTTGATTTTTATATAACTTGGACTACACCCCTCTGCCTTTGGACATGAACTTCCAATATTGCCTTGAACAGATTGTGGGGAACTCTTTGAAAGAAGTAATTGATCTACCACATTAGTTACATCATTGCCTTTTGACTTAACTTTGTACCTATTTTCATAAGTGGGGGAATTGTACTGTTTCATGTCAGGCCACCAAACCTGACTCATTGATGACAGTTATAATGACATAGTTTTAATATATTTAGGAGTGAAAACTGAATTTCCCATCCCATCTCTTTGCCTCAGCTGTAAATGCAAAAGTAATTGATTAAGCGAAATCTTAACTTTTCTAATGATAGCATAGACTTGAAAGGATTCTGACGATGGTGTATACTGTACTTCTTTTGGCTTATTTTGGACTTCACCCATCATCTGGTATGTAAAAGACAAAAGACCACGATGTTTCGGAGACTGGATCTGTCTGCGAAACATCGTGGTCTTTTGTCCTTTACATACCAGACGATGGGTGAAGTCCAAAATAAGCCAAAAGAAGTATAATGATAGCATGTTAACAATAAACGTGACTTGTTATTTTAGACATTGTCCGTTGTCATCAGTTTTTGAAATTCAGTTTTTTCCCAAAATTGGATCTGTTCCTACAGTCACCTGTGATGGAGGAAGGTACATACTTGGTTGAGCCCATTATAAAGAGTTCAGTCACATGACACCCTTCTTGTGGTGGGGATGGAGCTGATTCCTTTATGGGAAGCTGGCTGTCACTCAGCCACCCAAGAATTTCCCGGTATTTTATGGAACCCAGAGGTTCATTATCCTGTCACAAGAGCTCTCCATTGGTCTCTATCCTGGGTCAGATGAATCCAGTCTATAGCAACCCATGCTATTTCTCTAAGATCCATCTTAATATTATCTGCCCACCAAAATTCTGTATGCATTCCTTGTCTCCAGCCATACGTGCTACATGCCCTGCTCATCTCAGTTTGGTGAAGAGTACAAGTTATGAAGCTCATTATACAGTTTTTTTCCAAGCCTCCTACCATTTCATTCCTGTTTGATCCATGTAGTCTGCTCAGCGCTCTGTTCTCTGATACCTGCAGTCTGTGTTCTTCCTTTAATGTCAGAGACCAAGTTTCACACCCATGACATGATTAATAAATAATTACATGAATTGTCACTGGTGTGTTGCTCATGTGATGATTAAATATAGCATATCTGTACACTAGTTGTATACCTTTCACATATTCTTAGTAATTCACTGCTGTTTTAATTGGATAAATTTTAAGGTAACATGTAAAGTCCCTCTATTTAATTAACTACAATATTGTGAAGATATGGGGGGGGGGAATTCAGTGGGTGTGAGTGGTTAGCTTTGCATCCGTCCCATACCCGTTAGATAAGAGTGTAGGAGGGCCGTGGAACTGGTCTGGATTCATTGGAGATGAGAAAAATGTGTGCCTGCCCAGGAACTGAAACCCTGTCATCCAGCCAGTGGCTTAGTCACTGTACTGGCTGAGCTTTGAGTACTGTGCCATAGTAAAACTAGGAGTCAGGATAACTCAGGCAGTATAGCAACTGGCTATGGGCTGGATGGCCAAGAGGTTGGAGTTCGAGTCCCGGTAGCGTCATGAATTTTCTCCACATCATCCAGACCAGCTCTGGGACCCAACCGACCTGCTATCCAATGGGTACTGGGGTTCAAGCGGCTACAGCATGAAGCTGACCACTCACTTCCAACTAGTGCCAAGGTCAAGAAAATGTGGATCTGTTCATCCACTCCCCCATATGCCTTCATTGTGTAGTGCTTAATTAAACACAGGAACAACTTTACATTTACTATAGTAAAACTGCATGAGGTCTTTGTAAAGGAATTGCGCTATCTCTGGATTCGGAAGATGCTCTGAACTTATCCGCGGAAAGCACATATTTGTGGATTTATGTATAATTACAGTGCAAAGGAACATGTCACCAAGTCATGTCTGCTACCTGTTGGAGAACCTATGGTATATTATTTAACAAAAGGCATGTCAAAAAAAGATATTCTGGTAGTTAACAGTGGTCACATAATCTAGGAATGCCTAAATGTGATTAGCCATTGCGCACATTGTTTTTAAACTCGTGACATTGTAATTATCCCTGTTGATCTGAATTCATCGTACAGAATGTAACTTCACGAAGCGTGCACTGTGTCTTTAAGTAATCCTCAATGTACAGTATGTGCCATCTTGGGCTGGGCACACAGTACAAGGAGTGTGAATACTGTCACCACTTTATATCCAGTCATGTGGTCCTTCATCACCTTGCGCCAATCTGAGATGTGGATTTGTTAATTATACTTCACGACCCCACATGGGGAGACGTCACACCATTTTATTTGATTCTAGAACACTTAAAATGTTTTTGATAATGATGAAACTAAAACAGCACTTAAGGAAGCAGTAATTGTGTCAGATATTTTTAGATCATGTTACATCATGTAATTTTGTTGCCCAAGTTTTCTGTCACCATGACTTCTTTTTCTAATGCTAGTGGGGTGGGACTAAGTCCCTTGTACTGCGGCCACTTCTGGCCTGTTGTACCAGCCCCAGATGATAGGTGAGGGTGATTGTGGAGCAGTTGGTGGAATGAAGATTGGCAGGGGAAACCAAAGTACTGGGAGAAAACAGAGCTAGCCCCTATCTCCAGACTGGAGATAGGGGCTAGGTCTGTCTATTGGACCCAACTGAGTAGGTTTCACCTGAGGACGGACAGAATCCAGTCCCCGAAACGTTTTTTTAAAAGAAACAGGACTGTTTTTTAAGAACAGACAAGATGATGGATAATGTCCAGCAACATATTACTTGTAACAATTTACCATCATCACAAACTTTAAGATCTTAATTAAAAATGCTCCTGTTAGATTCACCCATATCTGTCTGCATGTAACAACAACAGAAGTGGTGAATGTATCTGTATGAAATTTGATATTGGGCAATTTTACTAACATCTGTTGTCACGTTGCAGTTTTGGTTAGTGTGTCAGTAACGGTGGCGATTTCACAGAAACGTCTCGTAAGTTTCTGTGCACGTATGAAATATAATAGCTCACTAGGTATTCATGGCAACAAAAACTTTAAAACAAAAATTTATAGAGATGCATAAAAAAGCACACAAGAGACTTATTCTGTAGGTCTTAACACTTTTATAATATACTGAAAGAGGACAAGTATTCCAGAATTGTTGTGCTGTACATACATTTTGTAACTCGTTCGTGGTTTCCCATGGTTGTTCCTAGCAACTTCAATTAGGACATATGTCCTTATTTACCAATCCATTTCAGTATTTATTTCTTTGATTGGAGTTGCTCAACTTGCGAAAGTAAATTTGGATGCGGTCGTAGTGCATGGCATGTGTTTGTGAATATAAAATTAACCGATGGATCAGATGTTTCACTCTCAGACACTCAGAAACCATTGTTGGTTTGAGTTTGCTGTATACTGAAGGTTCTCCAACTGTTTTCATTAATTGCAAAAGTCTATCCAAGAAAGGTTTGTAATAAAGAGTTGCCCATCCTGTGACTGCTGCGAGATGGATGCAGAGAAGGCCGATGGAAGCACTGTACAGCTGCAGTTGCTGTCTACAAACTGGACAACAACTAGGAGTAGGAAGACAAGTTGGACTGGCAAGACACTCTAGTTGTTTGTTAACACTTTTATTGTGTATGTGATATGCTGTCTTGGCATTGTACTAAATGTATCAACCCATGAAAGTTTTAAGACATGACATCTGTAAAAAGTAACATAATGTGTTCATTTGGCAAATATTCAAGAGCACGATTTTATTCTTATTATGAGAGTTGTTCAAATTACATTGCTAACGAATATGTCAAGACGGACAGGTTTCATTAATATGAACCTCAAACTTTTGCTAGTATGAATACACTGTTATACTGAGCCTCAGACTGCACAGAGTAATACACCATATTTGTGAGGTCCTGAGTTTGAATTTTGGCTGTGTTACTAGCTATCCTGTTAAAGGTTTTCCATGGTTTTATTTTGCAACTCCAGGTGAATTCCAGGCAAATACAAATAAAAGTGTTTCATTTGACACAGCATACTTGCATAACCTAAGAATAATCATTTAACTGGAAGTCAGCTGTAACATACAGGTTTTCATAATTTTTATTATTATAAAACTGAACAACATCCTGTAACTAACCAGATATTAGGTCACAGATGAAGCCCTCAACTTAAAAACTAAGTATATGATAATGTGCTGCCTGGTCAGGGATATTGCACACTTAAGGACTGGTGATAAATGAATATGGAACAATGGTGGATTGATGATTAGCAAGGGGAAGCCAAAGAAACCCAGAGGATAACTGTTCATTGCCATTTTGTTCACCACAAATCCCACATTAAATCAACACTGCACTGAGGTTTGACTGAAAAGTCAGCACCAGCACAGAAGCTGTGACAGCCTCTCGTTATGTCCCACCTTTTTTATTTTTTTACGTGGTGTAATCTTACAAAATGTTGATAAACTTCTACCAGATTGCACAGTATCACATTCCAGAAGATAGTATTCTCCAGACAATCACTGCACTGGCAGTGAAAGCGTTCTGTGTTGGAAACCATCAGCCAGAAGGCACTAAGCCTCATTTACTTAAAGTATGACAGTATGTTGTGTGAGAAGCCCCATTGTATGCTAACGTCACAGTACCTGCAGTTTGGGTATTGTGCTGGGAGGGACGGTGTTGATTGGTTGGCCTGCCTGTCCCTTCTGGGAAGGGGGAGAGGCAATATGTGTTGTTTCTGCTTGCATTGCAGGAATCTTCTCATGTTGATACATCGGATGGTTGAGTTTGTGATTCGAGAAGGTCCTATGTTTGAAGCAATGATCATGAACAGGGAGCTCAACAATCCTATGTTCCGGTAAGTTATGTTACCACTTCTAGTACCCACAACTTGGTTGGAGTGTCTTCAGTTCATGTGATCTGATTATTGTAAAATATTTTTCCCTGTTGGCAGGTTTCTGTTTGAAAACCAGAGTCCTGCACATGTTTACTACCGGTGGAAACTGTATTCACTGCTGCAAGGTGACCTACAGTTACGCTGGCGCACTCTTGAGTTCCGCATGTTCAAAGGTATGGAACTCATCATCAACACCAGTTCCACCTGTAGGGTTCATTTGTCTTAAAGTATGGCATTCCACAAGATCCAGTTTATACACGTATTAAGAATATGATCCCACAGGATATGGGGCAGGTAACATTTTTTAATTGAAATTTGCAGAATTCAAAATTAAAATCTATTTTATTTCAACATTGTGATTTTAGTGACAGATTGTTATTATTGTAACATTTCTGTTTTATACTGATCATTGGACTTAAAATCTTCAGTCTGATTTTCTTCCCACAATCTTTCTTTTTAAATTTCTTGCCAGCTTTCCCCCTCTCTTGTGATGTTTTCCAGCACCTGCCTAAACCGTCTTGTTGTTGGTCTTCCCATAGGTCTCTTTCCTTTGAATTTTAATTATGCTGCGCTTTGCAGTATTCTTGTTCTGTCCAGTCTTTCATGACTGAAGTATTATAATCATTTCTGGTTCACAACTCTGTTAAATTTTTAATTTCGAGTTCTCCAAAAATCAGAGTGGCACAAGCCAGAAGGTCATGGACTTGATTCCTAATGTCACTGGATTTTTCAGTTGACCTAATCCTCCCAGCCGCACTGTGGCCCTGGGGTCGACTCAGCCTCTAACAGGAATTAGTACCAGGAATCTTCCTTGGGGGGTGAAGGGAGGCTGGTGCGTAAGGCTGACAATCTCACCGTCATCTGTGAGCCGGTTGTCTAGAAAATGTGGGAACCTCGACATGTCACAAACCTTTGGGCCTCCATGGCCTGTTCCAGGGATAGCTTTACTTTTTACCCCCTCCAGTTTTTCCCATTATCCTTCTCAAAAATTTTATGTCCATTGCTTGGATTTTAATTTTGTTTCTCTTCATTTAGTTATTAAAATAACCGCTCGAAGCTGATGGGTCCATCCTTTTAAACATTTAAATATTGAATCATATTTGTTATTGTTGAATTTGTGGTTGTCATTATATATTTTATATAACATAATTTCTTAAGTTTTGCTAATATTCTGTAATTCCAAATGATGTAAGGAAATAAATCTGTTTGCACTGTCGGATTATAGGAGGTTCAATATGGAGGCCACCACCTATGAACCCTTACACACAAGGAATGCCAGATGAATTGGTAGAGGGTGATGACAAGGAACCTCGCAAGGGAAGCCTGTCAAACACGTAAGTTCACCTCATGGCTGTCATTATCCTTGGAGAAACCTTATATCTTTTTCTTGGCATCTCAAGCTAGAGAGTGGAGGACTCAGATTTGATTCCATGCAGGGGTAAGAGATTTTTCTCTTCTTCACAGCATTCTGGCTTGATTTCAGTCCTACCCAGCCTTCTAATTGGGTATCTTGTGTTCCTTTCAAGTAAAGCAGTCACATCACGAATCTGTCCTAGCATTCAGCTGCATCTAATGGCGAGAATAAGCACACATGGCCCTGTACCTCTTCCCCCATGTCATTATGGTGTGTTGAACAGAGGTACCTTTATTATACATACAGATAATTTATGTTTGATGAAAAGAGAAGTAAGGGAGTATAAAGGTAAAGCTGTGCCCTTGCTTGATGCAGAAGTGGAGGTATAACTCCATGCATTCCTAATCTCAGCACTAGGTGGTGATAAGTATTGGGTTTCACAGCCTCGCCACTTTAGCCTTGGGAAAGGTCATGCTCAGACTTCTTGGACAAGAGGCCCTGTAGTGTTATGAGTCAGTGTGAGCACTGGGAAAGCATAATTGAATTGAACCCTGATTCCCCGTTCATCTGCTGTGTAGCCTATCTACTATACCGACAGCTATTACGGAGACATTTCATGATATACGGCAGAACCCTGTTTAAGGTTCCTTTGAGGACCTGTGGATTTAAACACCAGAGTGATGAAAATATTACGTGGGAGTAATTTAACGCCAAGATTATTGTCTTGGGTTCACTGAAATTGAACGTGGAACAAGAGACATCATAAAATCTAAGGACATTAAATGGGGATTCTGCTGTAAAAGAAACAAATAATTTGTTCTTTAGTGTTGAACAACCACCTCTGTGGTCTAGTGGTCAGAGTTCCTGGCTACAGATCCAGAGGTCCCGGGTTCGATTCCCAGCGCTACCAGATTTTCTGAGAAGTAGTAAGACTGGAATGGGGTCCACTCAGCCTCATGAGGATAATTGAGGAACTAGTTCAAGGAAATAGTAACTCTGGTCTGGAAAACAGGGATCCATTGCGCTGACCACGCAACACCCTCTGTCCACTAAAGTTGACACTAACTTCGCCAACAAACAGCGTTCACTCGGTCAGTATAGTTCACTTGCGGACTGAAACCATGGAGTTGGTTTTTGTTTTTGTATTGTTGAACAGTGAAATATGTCTGATTGTTGCCACCATTTTGTTTGCAGGCAGAGGGACAGACTTGAAGACTTGCTCAGAAACATGACCCCAGAGCGCTTGAAGGTGGCTGAGGCTATGGTGTTCTGTATAGAGCACAGTGAAGCTGCAGATGAGATCTGCGATTGCATTGCTGAATCCTTATCGATCCTACAGACACCCATCCCGAAAAAGGTAACACATCCCAGAAGACAGCAGTTTTCATAGTCATGCCATGAGAGGCTGAAATCTAACAAAATATGTATGTTTTTCGTTTCAGATTGCACGCCTTTACCTCATTTCTGATATTTTACACAACTGCGGAGTGAAGATAACCAATGCTTCATTTTATAGGAAAGGGTGAGTAAATATACAGCAAAAGTGTTTCATTTCTTACTGCTTTTTTTGCCAAATATGAGTATTCTTGCTGCCTATGTAGGAAGTAAAATAGGTGAATTATGTTTTGTTAGGTGTACCAGCTTAAAATACTGAAATTTCTCAATTTCTCCCCATAGCAATATTTCACAACCTTACACAATGTCAGAATTTGACTTCTGGATGGTTTTGATGATAGTGTACTTAGGATTGCTGAGTTTATGGATCCTCTCCATAATCTGGTATTCCAAACGGAATGCAAGGTTTTGGAATCTGGATCTGTTTCTGTTCTGAGTTGAAAATTTGGGGATGCGTCTCCTGTATCTGGTCCAATCTCAGTCACTGGAGGGCCTAAATCAGTTAGATGCATGTATGTATGCACCTGGGATCCAGTTCTATCAGCAGGAGGAGGTGATAGGAAAATTTGCAGTAAAAATTATGGAGATACAGGAAAATTTGCAATAAAAATTATGGAGATACCCATCAAAACTTAAATCTTAATGGAGAAATTAATCAAAATCTAACAAAGAGGTAAATTTTACGGAGCACTATTCTATGTTTGGAATTGTAGATGATTGACAGATTCCAGAAACCCAGTAATCTTAAGAATCATATATATTTTTAACTGGTATTACTTATTATGCCATATAGACTCAAAAGTAAAACAGTGATTGACATATTGACAATGAGAAGGCACTGGTCATTTCAGTGTCTTCTACTAGACAGACAGAAGATGGGCAGCTGATTTTTATTTTGCAACAGATTTTAAAGTTGTAGTTCATGTAGTGTTAATACTGCAGTATTACCACAACTTAAATATCTCATCCTGCTTGCATGTGACACAGCAAGCCCAAGCTCATGCTGAAGAAGAATGTAGCACTGTTGTCTGATTTTCTTTTCCAACTCCAAATGCTGAGGAGTGCATTTGCAAGCTTACAGAAGTCAGAGTATATGCCAGCATGTCTAGCAGCAGAAAACAGCTGTTGGCCAGTGCTGTTTTGAGGTGGACAGCATTGAGCACTGATATAAGGAATCATAAAACTGGGCAGAAGTAAGTATACTCCACAGGAACTGAAAGTATCTTGCTGTTTCAGGTTGGAGGCCCGATTGTTTCACATCTTCCAAGATGTACATGCTGCCTACATGAGTCTGGAAAGTCGACTGAAAGCAGAGGGCTTCAAGCTGCGAGTCATGCAGATGTTTCGCGCTTGGGAGGAGTGGGCTGTGTATCCCAAAGACTTCCTCATTAAATTACAGAATACCTTTCTTGGACTAACTACTACAGTGAGTGTTTTATAATGATCATAATACACAGCTTTAACCATTATGACAGTGTTTCCTATGCAGTATGACATGATTTTAAGTTTTTTCTTTATTCCTAATGAGGTGGGACTAAGTCCCTTGTACTGCGACCACTTCTGGCCTATTGTACCAGCCCCAGATGATAGGTGAGGGTGATTGTGGAGCAATTGGTGGAATGAAGATTGGCAGGGGAAACTGAAGTACTCGGAGAAAACCTGCCCCAGCGCCACTTTGTCCACCACATATCCCACTTGACCAGAACCAGGATCGAACCTGGGCCACTGTGATGGGAAGCCAGCGACTAACAGCTTGAGCTATGGCGCGGCCATGATTTTAAGTTGGTTTTGTGATGACATTGTCAGTATCAAACTGTATAGTGTCAGCTGATAGATTGAGTAATGAATGTGGACCAGTTGATGGAATGAGAATTGGGAGGAGAAAAGGTCTGCCCCAATGCTGATTTGCTGACCACAGATCTACATGGTGTAATGATTTGCGATTGAACCCAGGCCTCCAGTGTGGAGATCTGTAGTGTAACCGGTATGACATGATGACCATGCTACAGCTTGGGTGGTTAGTTGGTGCCTTCTTGCCACAGAGGTCCCAGTTTCAGTCCCATGTTAGTCCATCTGGCATTTGTGATGGGCAAGCTGGCAATTGGTGCTGGCTTTTCTAGAAGCGCCTGTTTTACCCTGCTAATTATGCTAATGAACAAGATGCCGGTAACATAAAAGAAATCTCTTTTAAGTTCATTCTGATGTGCCGTTTACAGATCTAGACATAAATTTTCCATCATGTGACACTTCTGTGTATTGATTTTTGGGTGAGTGCATTTTTCTTTTTTCTGTTTATTCTTAGTGTTCTTATAATTTTTGTAAACCATAATGTGATGAAAATGTTTCATGTGATAATGTCATTATTTTACTGCTGTGTGGAAGGTCATTATGATCTTATGAGAAAATTTACAAAATAGTCTGTCAAAATAGCCAGTTGCTGGGTCAGAATTTGAAACCGGGAATGTCCAAATATGAAGGATGACTGAAGCATGGTACTGTAATTGCTCTCGTGTCATTTTGAAGTCAAGTCCTTTTCTGCACATATGCAATAGTGATGATAGTAAGATCTTGTTGTGCCCTGCTTTGTCTCCATCCGCCACTTCCACATGAGTAGTTCACTGATTTGGAGAAAGCCATAACATATTTATTTATGTGTGGTTTATTTTATGATTCCGTCCATAGCTCCGACTACATAGTGCTGAATGACAGTTAATGAATAATGAATTAGGAAAGGAAATTTGAAAGGAAGTGCTTATGACCTAATTTGAAGTTCTGTCAAATTTACCTAGAAGGACTGCAGAAAATCACAAAAATAATTAGTCATCACAACTTGGAACCTCCTACATGTGAAGTTGGAGGCTGTGAGATTATTGCGCTGTACAATCTTAATTGTGTACTCGCATATGTGGCAGTGGAGGACATGAAATCATATCACATGCTTGTGTACTTTCTGCAATCAGTCTGATGGCAAGAGTCATCAGGAAAGCGAAGGAGAAGAAGAGGTTGAGGTACGAATGGAGTCGGAACTGGATGGCTTACCCATGTCGGGTGGCGAGGGTGAAGGAGAGGACCTGGACGGTGTGCCGTTAGATGGAGCAGCCCTACTGAAAGGAGCAATGAAACACAGCAGGCCTTTGCCAGCTCCAGATGATGACCTGGATGGAGTACCAAGTGAGTTACATGTTTCAGTCATGATCTACCGGGTTGTGACACCATGCAGTCGTGTAGTCGGATACATATATTAAGAGGAACTCGGGGCTTCCATCTGGTTTAAAGTGATTGATAGGACTAGGATGTAGATGAAAAAGGTTGGCTAAGGCGCAGAATGAGATTAGAATCTTGTCCTGGCCAATGGGAGCAGGGAGCAGGAAAGACTATTTCCACAGCCAATGAATAGGGAGCTATATGAACCAGTGCACTGTCTCCATAGACTTAAAGAAAACACTACAAAAACTGTCATTTCCTTAAGTTTTCCATATTGTTTTTAAGTATTGTAAGGCTTTGTAAGAAAATTTTCCTGAGCTTATTAGCTCAAGGATAGATGAGAACCCCTTGTTTGCTGTCTGCTCCATCTACAGCGTGAAGTTATACTATATTGTTGTTGTAAGGGATCCATTTAACAAGGTCCTTAGACTCTGAGAAGTTTACTGTACTGTACATTATTCACCTGTATAGTAAAAAATTAAGTAAATAAAGGTATCCCTGTAACAGACCGTGGAGGCCCGTAGGGTTGTGAGAGGTCGAGGTTCCCACATTTTGTAGACAGTCGGCTCACAGATGGCAGCAAGGTTGTCAGCCTTACGCACCAGCTGCCCTTTACCCACAGATAGATTCCTGGTACTCGTTTCTATTAGAGGCTGAGTCGACCCCAGGACCATAGTGCGGCCCGAATGATTAGGTCAATTGAAAAAATCCAGTGACCTCATCGGGACATGAACCCGCAACCTTCCAGCTTGTAGCATAGCGCCTCAACCAACTACACTACTTTGTGCCCCCTTATTCACCTGCATGGAAGAATATTCTCTTTCTACCCTGATGGATCCTTTTGATTCAGATGTGAAATGTCATGTTTTAAACAGTTTAAACTTTTAGCTTGTTGATGTTTTGAGATGTAGTATATGCTTACATTGACATCATATCATGCTGCGTGACGTACCCTTCAGCCCAGAAGTTTGAGACAGCAGGTTCCTTGAAAATACTGATAAATATCTACCACCAGACTAAACAGCATCACATCACATAAGGCAGTAGTATTCGTAATGTATCGGCATTTGCCTGGAAGGTGTTAGGAAAAACATTAGGAACCTATGAGTAATTAGGTTGAGATTTGAATCTATGATGTTCCATATATGAGGTTGAAGAGCTGATCACTATGTGTTGACAGTCAAAGGGTAGGTGGTTGGATAGCTTATACACTTGCAAGCTGAGACAGAATATACTGTATACAGCACAGCATGGTCAGTTCTCACCCGTTTTATAATTTTAAGGTCATTTACTCATATCTGGTTTGATTAATGATGCTAGCACTAGCATCAGAAAGGATGATTTGTGAATAAGGATGTGGAAGGAAACTATTGTGGCCCAATTTTGGGAACTATCCTGGCATTTGGAGGGACCGGGAAGGGTACAAAGAACCTAAATCAAGCTAGTCAGTGTGCCATGTGTAAGATATGAACTGGAGACCTTCTGAATACAAATAAGAAGCATTACCACCTGAGCCAGCTGGCTGAGTTGACTTTTAAGTAAAGTAAGAACCTGTATTCTTGCAGTGGATGATGATATTGATGGTGAGCCTTTGTCAGAGGACCTGACAGGGGATGGTAAGGGTAAACTGACAAGCATGCCTGCCGGGTTTGTCCCGTCACGATGGGAAACTGTGGATCCCGAGCAGGTAGAAGCACAAGCCATGACAACCAGCAAGTGGGACCTGCTGGAGCAGACAGAACAGCCCGAACAGACAGACAGAGGGGAGGACCCTGACAGTGCAGGAGGAGAAGACTCGCAAGAGGGCGACTACCAGAATTATGATGTGAGGTGAGTGAGGCTGAACCCTTTAGGGTGGTGGTCATCATTCCGTGACCAAGGAGTGGTCAGAATGTGTGTTTACAGAACATGAAAACAGTTTCGTAGAATGGAAGGTTTGAAACTGATGTCCTCTGCAGTTGCAGAAAGCATCAGTATTTGCTCGTACTGCAGAAAATATTGAAGAATTTGAGGGGGTTCAAGAAAATTTCCTTACTAACTTACATTTAAGCCTTTTGAAGACTATTTTTACTGACTGCCATAGTGTATTCAGGATAGAATGAACTTTTTTCTTCTCCACATGGCCCATACTGGCTCTGGCATCCATCCAACCTATTATCCATTGTGTACTGGGGGCGATTTCCCCAGGGGTAAAGTGACAAAGGCATGAACCTGACCAATCACCTCCATCTAGTGCCAAGGTCAGGAATGATGGATCTATATCTCCACTCCACCATACGGCTTCATGGCATAGTGCTGAATTAGGGGCGCAGAGACAACTTTACCCAGCCTTACCCTACAGTTTCCTTTTTTCACTCAATTCTAATTTCTTTTCCCAAAAATCCAGGGTGAGGAGCAGGTGCCTGGTTTTACCCCTCCCCCCTTGTCAACCTCCATGGTTGCTTCTGTTACTAGTCTCTTTCCCATACTGAGTCACAGTATTGATTGCAGGGACTTGAATGAGGACCGTAGAGCACGTCTACGGGAAATTGAGCTGAAGGCCGTCCAGTACCAGGATGAGTTGGAAAGTGGCCAGAGGACACTGAAGAGTGGATGGAGCATTCAGCAACAGGTGGAGCACTATCGGCGCAAACTGCTGCGCAAGGTGAGCGCACACATTTATATTTTGGACTGTTTGTGGGCGTTCATTTATGTATGATGTGTTTGACAGTATGTGTAGTATAGGGATTTATTTGTATCGGCCTGAGAGCCTCTCCTGATAACATTTGGAAACCAACTTTCAGACAAATCTTGGTTTAATAGTCTTACATTTAGTGAAATCCCATATTTAATGATTTTTTTTTATAGTTCCAGTAAGCCAATGTGAACAGTGTACTATATTCACCATATTTAGTGAGTAGCCTGCATTTGGTTTAAGAAAATTTTAAACTTCCAGAACTTGTACAGTGATTTAGTGTGATTATGAGCAAGACAGTAATTGTTATTGATGTTTTTCACATGCCAGAAATTGTTACTAATAATTGTATACAATGACAGCATTTTAACAAAAACTAAACGACATACATGGAAACACGATGGACAAGCGAACAGTGCAGTGATCTCCCCGAAAACAAAAAAGAAAAATTGCCTGATGGTGGCCCATGTGCGGCCGAAACATGTTGTAAAGAGTAGAAACGTATGAAAAACTTAGAGATATTTCAGTAATCTCATAATCACTTTTAGTGTATAAGTTATACTTTTAGTGTCTTAATGACATTTTATGATTTAGTATCATAAAGTTACACTTTTAGTGAGAAACATATTCTAGATGTCTTTTATGTTTTAAAATATTGTTGCATTATTGACGGGTGCTTTAATAATAAGGCTAATGCCTCAATGCAACGGGATGCTAAAATATAATAATACTAATAAATTTGATAGTATATAATTGTACTTGTGTACAGACATAATTTAACACACGTGGTTCCAGCAGACCTAACTTGACACAGCTTTAGATATGAATCCCCCGTTCCAAGATGATAAGGTTTAACACAGATTACACTCTCGTGTGCTCCTCTAACTGCCTTCATTATGTTACTGCCTCTCTCAGCTTATTTGTTTATGTTGGAGTCCCTACAGTCTTGAAAACCGAGATAAAGAGCCATGAGAATCCATTGCGCTGACCACGTGACACCCTCTGTCTGCTAAAGTTGGTACTAACTTTGCCGACGAGCAGCGGTCACTCAGTCGGTTAGTTCGCTAGGAAACTAAAGGCCATGGAGTTGGAGACCATTGCACTCTTTTGCATCAGCTCTCATATAAACTAAAGAGAACGGAATTTTCTGTACAGGCTGAGAAAGGCGAGCGGGAAAAGGAGAATGAACGTGAACGAGCTGAAGTGGACAAGGAATCACAACAAGAATCATCAGGAGAACGAGACAGGGACAGACAGCAGAGTTCTGGGTCTTTGTTGGATAGGCGGAGACGTGGAGATCGAGAAAGTAGTCGCAGTGAACGTAGTAGTAGACGTTCTTCATCACCTGATGATAATTACTATCACCGTGCAGACAGGGACTCGTGAGTATCTGTTTGAGGAACTGTAGTATCTAAAAACTCTTCCTTGCCTGTCTCATTGCTGACATTTGAACTTCTTTATGAACTGACATTTCTTTCTTGGTTTATTTTACGATGCTGTCGGTATCTCAAACTATGTAGCAGCAAATGGTAAGGTGATTAGTGAATTGGAAATTATTTGGAAGGATGTGGTCATGGCCTAATCGCACTATACCAACATTTGCATGGAGGGACTGAGGAAACCCATATACATCTTCAGTCAGGATAGCATATGTTGGCAAGGATTCGAACTGAGCTCTACCTGAATGCGAATCTAGAGCGTTACATCTGTACCATCCTGTTTATTGATATCTGTGTAATTTTGTAGGTCAGGTTCAAGGTCAAAATCAAAACGATCACGCAGCTCTTCAGGCAGCCCAGTACCTTCAAAGCGTTATAGGTGAGTTATGTTAGTCTGTATTGAATCCTATATTAAAAGTATTGATATCCACACTGCAGTTGGTTATTCTGTGAAAGAATTTGTACCTTTTATTGGGTTGATTGTTGATAACCCAACTTGTGAAAGATGCCCACAAGAAAACGAATGAGCCAGACACATGCTGTGTGATTGTGAGGCCATAGCTTGTTTAAGATTTTGTCACTTGGGTCAGTTTTTTATGGAACCAAGTGACTTTTATGATGCCCCCATAAGCAGGGTCCTGCACTTTATTAAAAGTGTAGGATTAATAAAGGGCCAATCCAAGGGAAAGCACAATAGATCATTGAAGGTCGCAGTGCAGGGGGCCGGTTTTTATGGCCCACCCCTTACATACATACATAGGTTGATTGTTGTTATTTCTGAATATAACACTGAATCACTGATGCTATATATAACCTAGCGTTAGACACAGCGTTTATTCAATAAAGGCCAAGAGAAGCTAGGAAAGAGCACTTACTTACTCATGGAGCCCTTCTTGAGGAGCCGCCAATTCTGCAGCTACTCAAGAATTTCCCAGCATTTTATGGAACCCGAAGGTTCATTACCGTGTTCACAAGAGCCCTTCACTGGTCCCTATCCTGAGCCAGATCTATACAGTCTATACCACCCCATCCTATCTCTCAGAGATCCATTCTGATATTGTCCACCCACCTACGCCTTGGTCTTCCCTGTGGTCTCTTTCCTTCTGGCTTTCCCACCAATATCCTATACGCATTCCTCATCTCCCCCATTCGTGCTACATGACCTGCCCACCTCATCCGCCTTGACTTGATCATTCTAATTATACTTGGAGAACAGTACAAGTTATGAAGCTCCCCATTGTGCAGTTTTCTCCAACCTCCTGTCAGTTCATCTCTCTTCAGTCCAAATATTCTCAACACCCTGTTCTCAAACACCCTCAGTCTATGTTCCTCTCTTAATGTCAGAGACCAAGTTTCACACCCATACAGAACCACAGGCAAAATTATAGTTTTGTATATTCTAATTTTTACATTTTTGGACAGCAGATGAGAAGACCAAAGATTCTGGACTGAATGGTAGCAACTAGGAAAGAGCACACATGGATAAATAGTGTAGTTTAAGATAAAATGTATGGAGTTTGGTAGAAGAGGAATGTAGGTATTCCCCAGACTTGGTTGAAATGTTCCCAAGAAATACAGTGAACTCAAAATTTTAGAGCCCTTTGGTTTCACTGCTTATAATTTTCTTTTGAAAAATATGTAATTCAGTTAACTTTAATATCATTTCTAATAGTCATCCCCCNCCCCCCCCCCATTCAGAAAACTAATTTCAGTGTTCCTTGTTCTTCAATAAATATACAATTTAAATTATATGAATATAGACCTTGAGGTTTTCATGGTAGTGACTGTTCAGACTGTGACACTGTGTAGTATCGTAGGCAGATATCAGTGTTGGGGACGGTTCCATTTCCTTTCCCTCATCAGTATAATTGACTCACCTTCCTTGAAATTTACCTGTGTAACAGGATCAGTTCCTTACCCTACACAGTTCAGTCCTAATGATGGACGAAGCAAGTTCCTCCAAAACATTGGTATCCTCCAGCAAGACTGTGCGATGACACTCTGATTTTGTGTACCGCTGCTTTAATGCAAAGTCTGTATAAGTCAGAATTGCATAAATCAGGTTATACATATATTACTAAATAATTGGAAGTTAGTCATAATGGAATGGGTATTCATACCATAAAATATTTAGTCAACCGAGGAATGCGTATAGGATATTGGTGGGAAAGCCAGAAGGAAAGAGACCACATGGAAGACCAAGGCGTAGGTGGGTGGACAGTATTAGAATGGATCTTAGAGATAGGATGGGATGGTATGAATTGGATAAATCTGGCTCAGGATAGGGACCAGTGGAGGGCTCTTGTGAAAACGGTGATGAACCTTTGGGTTCCATAAAATGCTGGGAAATTCTTGAGTAGCTGCAGAATTGGTAGCTCCTCAAGAAGGGCTCAGCTCCATGAGTAAGTAAGGTAAGCAGCCTCTGTAGTCTAGAGGTAACGTTCCCACCTCATGACTCATAGTACGCGGGTTCAAATACCCGGCAGAGGTCGTCGAATTTTTAAGGGCAGAAAAATTCAGGGAACAAGTCCTCCGGGAGGGACTTTAAGCCGT